AAAAAAAAAAAAAAAAAAAAAAAAAAGAAAAACTTACCTTGTAATGTTCACGAATATGAAGTCTATATAAAGCTGACTGCATGAATTGCTTATTGCAAATCTTACACTTTCTTACTTCCTCCGTCAATGATTTTTCTCCATGTAATTTCAAGTGTGCATCCAATTGAGCCTTAAAAAAAAATATAAATATATATATAAAAGAATAAAGTAAAATAAATAAGATCTCGCTATATTAAAAATTTGTTAACGTGAGATAATATATACATTATACAATGATTCGTTAAATAATTGAAACCTTCTCTCTCTTGGATTGATAAATATAATTTAATAAGATCCAATATATATATATATATTTATCTATAAACACAAAAAACGATGTACCTTATAATACTGTGCACCGATTCCAAGAGCGAGATGAAAGACACGAGTGCAGATCAGTAGGAGAGCAAAATTGATGCAGTCCACGGCGAACGACATTATGAAGAAGATATACTTCTCCAGAATAAAACATATATGTGTATGCGTGTATATATATATATAAAAAACGAGAGAGTATAAATTTGAATAAATGATTCTCTCGTTTATAGATTCGCGATGTGATTATAAAAATTTATAATAGTCCAATTGTAAGGACATGATAATCACTTGTGGCAGTATAATATATTGTGCGTGTGTATGCTGCATGCAATAAACGTATAAATATATATAATAATCCATATAAATAATTATATTTTAAACAACTATGAACACAATCAATAATTAAATATGCAATTAATTATATTAATTAATTATTGCATTTTCATTTGTTCACAAAGTATATAGTCTCTCAATTTCCCCTCCTATTATTTTTTTTCTTTTATCTCGTAATAAAAGATAAATGAAACACAAAATAACAATGAACACCTTGATGAACACAAAACGTATTAAATAGAAAATAGTCTTCTTCGGAGATCATCGGATCCTCGATGATAGGGGAGTTGGCTTTGCGGTATAAAAAAACGATGAACATCAGAGTTATTACCGCCTCCGCGTTAACTTCAAAGTTCACTCTCTCTCTCTCTCTCTCTCTCTCTATTAGATTACGATTCCAATCCTCGAATAATAAAATCTTTCTTTCTACTTCTTTTAATTCTTATACAGTTCTCGTTTCGCACCTCCTGCTGCTGTGGCTGCTGCTTCTTCTTCTGCTGTTCCTGTTGCTGCATCCTTAAAGGAGGACGTTGCACTTCTTGCAAGTTGTAGCCCATTCGTGGGTTCGTTTCAATGTGCGAAACACCGGTAATCTTTCTTTCTTCTTCTCCTCCTTTTTTTTTTCTTTTTTTTTTTATTAATCCTTCCTCTATCTCCTTACTTTTTCAAACACTTAAATTTAATCAAACAAATCATTCAAAATATCGCGATTCTTTTCTTATAGGATAATTTTATACCCAAAAAAAAATATGATTTAAAAAAAGTAAAAAAAAAACGAAGTAAAGAACGAAACATGTGTGGTAAGTATCGTTCGAGGTTGCTGCTGAAAACTGTTCTCTAACACAGCATCGTTGGAAAGCCAGAAAGACGGAAGTTAAGTTTACGAAATTGGTTTATGTTCGTCGTAATCGATATACTCGTCTCGTTTCTCTACAAATTTCTAAATTTGAATCGCGGTATCGTGGGCTAGATTTTAACAAGAAAGACAAATCTTTCTCCTTTTATCTTTCTTTCTATCTTTCTTTCTCTCTTTTTCTCTCTCTCTCTCTCTCTCTCTCCTTCCTTTTCTTCTAATTTTACTTTTATTTCATTTCCTTACCTTAGATCTTTCGGATTTTAATCGAAGAATTTTTAACATTAAAAATACATACTCTATAATTACATTAGTAAAATGAAGAAAAAAAAAAGATACAACTTATGCGTATATAATTTTTTTTCATTTTACATTATAAAAATGTTGAATAATAATAATAATAATCAATGATCTTTCCCCCCCCCCCATCTTTCGAATACGAAAAAATTGTTTCGATGTGATAAAATAAAGAGGCACTTTTCTCTTCCTTTTTTTTTTTGTTCTGTTTATCCCAATATAACGAAATGAATTAAAAAAAAAAAAAAAAAAAAACGAGACACACAAACAAAATAGAACTTTTTCTCGTCGACTAATTCATCGTGAAAGAAGAGATAAACGCCGTATCTTTATCGCGTTCACGGACGTGTAGCGAGGAAGTAGTATCCGATAGATCGCCCACCCTTTTTTCACGAAGACAAGACTGCTGATAAACGCATCATCATCATCATTTTCAAATCTTTTTATTATATTATATGCCTTTGAAGTAAGAGCGAGACACAAAATTTTCAAGAGGAATTAAACAGAGCAATGGCGAATTCGTGACCCCGTAGAGATCACTTTTTACGAAAGAGAAATAAATGTGATCCGTAAATTTGTTTTATCAATTTTCTTTCCTTTTTTTTTTCTTGTCTTTTTTTAAATTACACATTTAAAAGAGAGAGAAACAAAATGAACTATATTAAATATTTTAATAGAAAATTATCATTTATCTATATATTAAAAAAATATATATATATCATATACAATAATAATAATTAAAACCTCAAGGTACTCTTTTGTAACATTATTTAAAAAAAAAAAATTAATTATCAACACAAAAGCAACCGGGAAATTTCGCGCTAATTTTAAACAATATTTTTATTTTACTGTGTGTGCGTGTATATAATTTAATATAGATAACATTTGTTATCTCTTTTTTGTTAAATATTTTGATAAATTACTGATTGTTGAAATGTGTTTAATCTACGATTAGGGTGGGGAGGAGGAGATTAAAAAAAATATGTTTGATTTAATTCTGACGCATGACCGACAAAAAAATTCGCCATCGCTGTTCTAAAGAAAATGTACGTAACACAGTAATACGGTTATTTAACTGGAAGAACTATGATAAAATGACGGAATCAAGATCGCCTTCTCTTGATTCCGGTAGCCAAAACGAGGACAAAGTGGACGCAAATTATAGTCATGGATAATTGTCGTGTCAAGTGTCAAACTGCCTCGTTTCGCCTATGCAAACGTTTACCGGGAACAATATATTAAATCTTCTCTCATTCTTATCAACTGAGATTTTTTTTAATACCATTTTTTACTACTACCTTCATTTTTTTTCGCCTTATCATATCCTTTTCGTATTTTTTTCCTATTTTTCCCCCCCCCTTTACGATTGAATCGATGATTAATACAAAAAAAAGATATATGATTTAACTCGAAAATTAAAATAACAATTATATTTATTCCACGATTCGTGAATATATATAGAAATGATCTAATTATTACGAATTACGCGATATAAAATAATTGTTTGAATTTTGTTAACTTTATTATAGAGATCTTCAATTATTCTCGATTTGAATGTGAAAAGCTCGAAGAAAAAAAATTAACAGAATCTATAAACCTAAAAATTAGATCGCGACATACGTCTTATTGACATAATATAAATCTCTCGTATTTCCTTATTTGGTAGATTATTATACAGTTATAAAAATAATAAAAATAAAAATGCGCGTGTATGTATGTAAAGAAGTGTGTTATATTTCAAGTTACAACGCAACCATTCGCAAATTATTATCCTTGGGGGGTTTCACTTCGGCTTGTAATGCGCGTATTCGAATCTCGTGTTCTTCTTTTATATATATATATATACATATATTTTCTTTTTTTCCATTCACTCTTAATTCCAAAACTTTCGCTCATTTTTCATACACCCGACAGCCGCGTCGTCGTCGTCGTCGTTTCGATTAAATAAAAAAAAAAAGAAATAAAATAATTAATGTAAAGAAAAAAAAAAATAATATGACCGACAATGATTTTAATCGTTGTTAATAAATGAACGTTTTATTTAATCGTATAAACCATAATTAATTCTACTATCGTGAAATAGATATTGCACGGAAGTAATAAAATAATGCGCCATCGCGAAACCCCCGTCCCTAGAAATTATTCAAATTACCTATACACTTCTCTATTGGCTATTACCTATTACCTATGTACATTGAGTTACCATCAATAAAGGTAACTTGAGATCGTCAATCTAAAATAACGATAACGAAAGTTATACGATCCTTTGTTTGCCCTGTCTAATGTTAAAAAACGGAATACGTTGCAAATAACAAAGTGTTCCAATAAACAGGAAGTTGATTTCTCGTGAAAGAAATAAATCGAAAATATAAAATATAGTCTCTACCCCCCTCTCAAAAAAAAAAGCTCCGTTTCGGATAAGAACAACTTTGACAATATTCAATTTAAAATATTTCTTTTTATATAGGAATTTCGTTAAATCAAAAGTCTATTCAATTTGAATAAATAAATAATTATATAAGAATGTATTAAACAAAAAAAAAAGAAAAAAGGTACGTAATAATTTAGTTAAAAACTATCAGAGAAACTTCGTTAACTCGTCATTGTCTTTGCGATCATAATATGGTTGACATCATTCCAGTCATAGAACGATGCAATAACTGTATGATTTAACTTACGAACCAAATGATTTACGTCATCGTTTTATTATAAAATAAATACAATTTTCAAATGTGTGTTTTCCTTATATCTATCGCATATTATTCCGATAAATGTATTATTCGTTGAGAGAAGAAAGGAGGAAAGAAGAAGAGTTAAGAAACCTAAAAAGAGGACTTTGAAAAACAGTCCTTCTTTACAGGTCGCTGGACTTTCTTCAAGAGAACTTCGTTTATATTACGTCAGCGAATATTTGGCACGAGAGGAGTCTTTCCTTATTCCTCTTTGTCGTTCTTTCTTCTTCATTTTTTTTTTCTTTTTCTCTCTCTCTCTTTCTCTCTGTCCTTTCCTTTTTTTTTTTTTTTTATTTGCAAGGATTGAAGAGACGAAGGACCAAAACCAGTTCTCGGTTTTAACCTCCGTTATCAAATCGGTATATCAAGCGGGGTACGGATTAACAAATAAAATTAAAAAAAAAAATAATAAAAAGAAGAAAAAAAAGAAGTAAGAGAAACGAGAGACGAAAAGAAAAGAAATTTGCGAGTAATGTTGACGATTATATAGGGGGCCACATTTTAAATAAATTCGCGTGGGCTTTATATAATATTATTTTGATGAAAATAATATAAAAAAAAAAATAAATACTGAGAGAAACGCATATCTTAAATTAAAAAATTAAAGTAAAGTAAAAGCCGAACGAATTTTTGTTCAATTTCCTTAAATGCAACATATCAACGACGCGTGTCCTATTTTTCTTGTTAAATACAAAAATAATAATGATAAAAAGAAAACACCATTACACGATAAGGTGAAAGAAGAGACCAAAAAATACAAGAGAAAGAGAAAGAGAGAAAGTGAAAAAAAATGGTCAACATCGAGAAAAAAGATCAGTCGACTCGATCTTCCACTCTTCTCTCTCTCTCTCTCTCTCTCTCTATCTATCTATCTATCTTTCTCTTTTTCTCTTCTTAGCATCCACCACGTGCGCGCGCGTGCACGAGAGCTTTTATCGCGTCTCTCTTCCTCTCTTGGTATATATTTATTCGTAAGCACGTTTCACGCACACATTTTTCTTCTTGGTACCAACGACCCCTGGTCTTCTCTTCCGAGAAACGATAGTCATGAATATAAAAAAAAAAAAAAAAAAATAAAAAAAAGGAGAACGATCCTCGTGAGAATGACCTAAAGTCGCGGAACGCGATATTATAAAAAAAAAAAAAAATAAAAATTTCAAATGACGAGAAAGAGAGATGATGATATAGATTATAAAAAAAAATAAATAAGAAATTTGTTTAAAAAGAACAACTTTTTCGAGAGGTATACACACGTGTGGCCTTTATGAGAAAAAAGGGGGCTGCAAAGATAATGTTTCTTCGTATTTATAGTGTTTACCAAAGCTTTTAAGAATTTTCAAGAGTCTCTCGACTAAGTTAAAAGAAAATGATCTTACGATCAACTTATATACAGATTATTAACACATATAAAACACAACATAATGTTAGTGTCTTTTTTTTAACATGAAAAACGCACCACTTTAATTACACTACATGGTATGGCATTGGTAACAAGATATCTTTTTAATTAAGATTAATATTCGTAAACAACATAGTTAACAAAAAAGAGAAAAAAGAAACAAAACCTTAATCAATTAATGAATCAATAAATAAATCCGATTATCGAAAAGAAAGAATTATGAACGGGGAAAAGTGAGATAAATAAAAAAAAAATAAAATTTAAAAGAAAAAAAGATAGAAAAAAATTGTTGAAATCTTGATCGATTTAAAACACGTGCACGTTCCACGAGATCCAGATTCTGACTAACTGACTGACTGCCAGAGCACAACTATCGCTTCATCGTCGTCATCGTTGCCACAGTCTCGTTCTCTCTTCCACGATTCCAATTAATTTTTTTTTCTCATTCCCCTCCTTTTGTACTAATAGATACATCAAAGTAGAATACTTTTGTTAATACGTTAATACGATCTCCATAAATTATATCATTCTTAACTTTATTGATGTTACATTACTATATCTATATTATCTAAAAATATGTAACTATACTATTCTCTCTTTAACAAGACAGATGGGTGAATCGATTTTAAAGGTTTATAACTTATGCTTCGATGCACTCTATGACACCGGGTGCATGAATATTTGCGTATTGAATCGATCAACCGTAAAATATAAACCGATAAATAAATAAGTTCTATTTGTTTATTCAACCGGTAATAATCGTTGGATTTAAAATAAGAAAGTCAATAACTTCTATGTTACTTTATCTTCCTTTCTTTCTATGGTTTTCTTCTATTTTTATCAAGACACGCGATAGTAAAGAAAATAAAAGTTGCATTTTTATGTATATTCCTCCTTCTCTCTATATATTTCTATAATGTCAAGCATATCTTCTCTTCATTCTTGGATCTTGGTGGCTTTGTTAATCTTTTACTGGACTGTTGGTGAGATAAGAAAAGTGTCATATAAGTTCCCTTCGAAAAACGCTAAATATGCAGATGCTCGTCGCATATGCATGCATAAGTGTAAGCTAATATTCTAACACTTTAGAATTTACGATACACGCAAGAGCTACAAAAGAGAAAGAGGAGGGATCTATGAGATCATACGATTCAGTTGCATAACACATGTGTGTCCACGTTATATACCGCCCGCCGCCCACTTGCAACACTTTTACGGTCCATATCCCTATCACGGTCGCATGTGCTATAAAGACGCGGCAAATGCACATACAAGTTCATCCTTGAATCAATGGCAATTGACGACATTCGTTTATCGATCTTAATAACGGATAGAACGTCGATCGTGAAATGTTATTCAAATATTATAAAGATGATTTAACATGAAATGATGTTTTTGCAATTATTAATTTTACATTTTTTTTCCTCTTTCATCCATAAAAGTATTACGATTCTTTTTTTCTAGATCAAATTCTTACCTTTTCTTTTGCCTTTTCTTTTTTTGGAATACGAGTTTGTTTTTGATACTATTTCTTTATATTTCCTTAGCTACAATTTAATTTTAGTTGAATGAGGAGATAAGAACACAAGGGTCAAGGGGTTGACCTTACCTAAACTGAATAAAAGTAGCTTTAAAGTCGCGTTGATATGTCGAAAGATTTTGTTTGTGACGCATTCACGTTTATCGTATCCAGGAGAACAGAAAAATATACTATAAAATTATAGTACGATCCCTCGCGATTTGAACATTTTTAAATACTAATTATATAATAGTATATGCGGTTTTTTCTTCTTTTCTTTCGTTATAATTAATAAATAACTAAATGCTTACTTTCGTTGGAAAGGCATCTTCGCATTCCGTACAAAAAAGATTTTCTTCTTTCACATGCAACGACATATGAGATTTTAAACTGGCCATCCTAGCAAATTTCCTACCACATTCGGGACATTTTGGTTCTCCAGTATTATGTGTTGCCATGTGAAGCGTGAAATTTGTCTGTAATGATATTATACGAAATTACTAGACTGTAGCTAAATGTAGACTGTATCTAATAAAAATTGTATGTTTGTGTATGAAATGAAAATCAAATGTGTAATCTATTAATAAATTTTCTTCTGTATTCATAATAAATTACCGGAATATTAAAGGATGCAGAACACTTCGGACAACGATGTGGTTTTTCCTCTGCATGCTGATCCATATGTTTCCGATATAGAGATTGTTTATCAAATTCTTGCCCACAGACATTGCATTTCATATCATCTGCATTCTACTTACAGAAACATGTATAGTTTCAATTCAGTTGATTTTATATTATATCAATACTAATAAATTTAAGATAACATACATAAGATGAAATGATTTCATTTTTTCTTGGCCTACCAGGATTGCGTTTAGTATTATTTTTTTGAATGGTAGGTTGATTTGTATTTAACTCGGAAGAAAAGTTTTGTTCTTTATTATTTACTGCTAAATCCGTTGACAGAGGAACTATGGATCCTGCGCAACTTGGTACATCTTCCATAACAGCAGGAACTGTTTCTAATGTTTGTATCGGTAATATAGCACCTTGTTGAATCCCAGTAAAACCTTCGATACTTATTTGAAAAACAGGCTACAACAAAATATAAAAATATTTATATTATAATTATATTTACAATTAAATTGCAAGTGGTAATAGAATATTAATTGAACATACAGGATGCACAATCATATTTCCATCTATGGTTTTAACTAATGACGGTGAAATAATATTATTCTGCTGCATAAATGCTACAGGTGTTGACATAATTGCTAAAACACCATCTTCATGTTCTGTAATAATTAAATTCCTATTTAACATCGATTAAGAAATAATATATACATATATATTTTTTGTAAATGTTTATTAAAATCTAATTAATCAATAAGAAATAATAGGATCCTCTTATTAATATAAATATAAATTTCTACCTGCTACTGCTAAAAGAGTTCGACCATCTTCAGCGGTTATAAATCCTAATGGTAATGCATCGCCAGTCGATGATTCAGAAACTACAATTTGTTCTGTCAACATTTTGCTATTTATAAATAGACAAATATTAAAGTAAAAAATGTTTATCTATCTACATATCATGAGATACTACATTGGATTATGTGTATTGAGTCTATTCATTACTAATGAACTAATGAATAAGAAAGTGCATTGAACCTCTTTAATATTTCACTTGTTGAGTTTTTATCATTACTCATTTATTTCACCACTACTTTAATTATAATATCGTTATTAAATTTTTCTTTCTTTTTCGAGAAACAAATTAACCTCTAAATGAACGCTGAGATAATAATGAAATAGATCGCCATGATATACGCAAAAAAAGTCTACGTAACTATAATGAGCAAAACAAAAGAGTTCGGACTATACTATAATTATTTATCAAGCCAAACACTTGCAATGAATAACAATATTACTGTCACAAACTTTATTTGACAGAGCACAGAATTTTTAAAGCAACCGCATATGAATATACTACAATACGTTATTTGATAATATGGCGGCACATATAATTAGTTCAAAGTAGGAAAAAGTTTCATTTTTATTTTTCCTCTGTTTTTCTCTCTCTCAATCCTATATCTATTATTAATAAAATCCACCTTTATCCAAATAAATTATACATAAATTTTTTTTTATAATAATATAATAATATAAATATGAATATTAATTAAAAAGTATTTTTTACAATATGGTTTCGTCACGTACTTATACAAGTAGGGACATTTCTTAAAAAAGAAACTCTTTGCTTAGATGTTTATTTAAAATAGAGGAAAATTTTCCATTGTTAAACATATTAAATAAGAAAATGTTCGTACATTTTAACACGTCATAATCAATATGATCAAATTTTTTAAAAACCATAAGTACATAAAGGTATATCATAACGTTGGAGTTTCTTTTAAGTATGCATAAATCTATAAAAGTCACATTAATTCTAATTTTTTAAAAATCGTTAAAATAAAACGGCATATACTGATTGTTTACAATCTAGTTTGGCATTGTGCTTAAGTGCGTAAGTACATACATTGCAAAAATAAAATTGTAAATGGACATTCTAACTGCAATCTTATATATGCATATATGTATTCACATATAGGCATAAGAAATAAGTACACTTTTCTTCTGAAGAAAACTTCAGCAGTATATACATATATACAAAAATATTCATTCCCTAATCCTGCATAAATTTTTAAGTTTCATAATACAGTTTTGTAATCCCTGTTACTTATTAGATTCGTTGTAAGACGCTCTTCCTGCTAGTTCTAAAAGATAACGGTCAGGATGATCTAACCAATCGCTTGCACTTAATTTAACAATTCTTTGTCTTTCTGCCTCTTTTACTTGCCACTTTTTAATATCCAATTGGCGTTCTCTGAAAAATGTATTCTATTTAATACATTACATTCTGACTTTGTAAAATAATTTAATATAATATTATTACCTCAACTTCTCATCTCCACACCCCCAGACTTCTAGAGTATTAATAGGATATGGTGCACCTGCGATACTGATTGAATGGAATGATTCATCAATACTTATATATGGTGTACGTGGATTACTTCCAAATCGTAAACCATGAGGATAACCCCTAATTCCCGTATTTAAGTATAATACTTTGGGTCCTTTTTCTATTACTCTATAAGTTGGACTTAATTGAATTCCCATTGAATCTTCATCACCCCAATAAAGATGACTTTCACGCCATTCAACTGCTGAGCATATGCAGTATATGAAATATTCACCATCCTTTTTTGGATCAGCAGCTTTTACAAGTAACAATGTTGGACCTCTGTAGCCTAGTACATGATGAAGAAAGCGATTAGCGCCTGCTCCATGCTCTGAACTATTATATAATAAAGTCCAGTGTTTAGGACATATATTGCCTGTAGTTTTGGCTATAATGGCGTGTGTAATATCCTTGGGTGTATTATTTGCCTAAATAACAAGGCTACGATGAAACGCCAATAGAATTTGTATTTATTATTAAAGAAAAACTTAATTTAGAAGTATGTATGCCATATGTTTCTCTCTAAATAAAATAATTCCTATTATGAATATATATGTACACATTATACATATACGTACACACACATACATATAGAAATATATACATGATTGATAAATCACAATAAATTGAAATTACCTGAAGATAGCATTGCGGTAAGGTGGTTGATAATAACCAAACATAGCTCACAGGCAATAATGACTGAGGTTGTTCAAACCAGTCAGCACATTCCAATACGGGTGTTGGAATTTCTAAATGTGGTTGCGGTTGTTCTTTTGATAACAGTGCTTTACCATTTCTATAAGCTGTCGTTAACACATGAACTACATAACAATGTAGCCCATGTACAATACGTGGACAATGATGCCACATCCAATTATTAACATAACTCACAGACAAACTATCCTTACCATGAAACTGAAATAACCAAAAACATTCATTTATATATATATCTTAGTTTAGATAATGAAATAAAATAATAAGTAGTACATCTTACTTACACATGAAACGACAACAGCATTGACAACACGATGTATATAAATACATGTTGCAGTTCCAGTACTATCCATTGCCAGTTGATAACAATTCATAAGTAAAGATCTAAGTAGATCAGGGCATATATCTTTACTTTTTATATTAGAATAAATTATTATATAATTTTCTAATATAGTTTGATCGCTCATAATAGATAAAAACTTTTCTGCTTGTTGTTTGAAAATAGAAACTGTCAAATGTGGCGTAGTTGCTTCAGCAGAGTGATGCAAATAAGTAAATAAATTTTTAGCTAATGTAGGATAATTGGGAAATAAGTACTTCTCAAATATGCCCATCGTAACTCCATGTACATGTTCTTCTTCATATGTAAGATGCGATAAAATCTGGAGAAAAATTTTAAGGTTATGTTTTAAGTAACAATTCATAATTTTACATGATAAATAAACATAAAATATATAATGAATTACATAGATTAATATCATTAATTAAATATAGAAATTGATAACAAATACCTTAAAGGATTAAAATTAAAAATTTGTATAGCTATAATTCTTGGTAATAAGAAAACATAAAATACACATCTTTTACTACATGGAGAAGAAGAAACAAATTTTTTAATCATCTAATTAATTACCTTAGCTAGATTATCAATTGGTAAAAATGGTGTAGAATTATGTTCGATGTCATTACCAGAGGAACTTCGTGAAACCGCGTTTGTATTTTGCGTATTGCCATTATTTGTAACTGTATCAGTCTTTTTATGAGAATTGCTTATATTACGTGACGCGTGATTACCCATTTTTATATTGAACTTTTTAAATATTTTTTTTTTATTTCGTTATTTTTTATCTTTAATACATATCATTCCAACATTAGCAAAACCTAGACCTATATCAACGTTGTGCGTTATCGTACGAATTTCACATATGCCTGCATTCAACATCACACAATTTCAACTTTGCTTTCACCTCTTATAAGCAAAATCTCATAGACTTTCCTTGCTTGTGAATCAAGCATTAATTTATATCATATATATATATATATATATTTATATACACACATATTTACTTAATATACAAATGTGATATATATTTGTATATACAGGTATATATTACTGCAGATGCAGCTATGTATGTCAAAGCAAAATGAAATATCGGAACTTAACATTGGTACATATTAATTAGATATATGTGTAGTAATGAATGTGGCGACACGGCTACCGTGTCGAGATACAGAACTAATTGTTTTTTTCAAAGTTTAATTTAAAAAATACAAATATATTAAAAATATTCATGATTTTTTGACAATAAAATAGTTATTTAAAAGTAATGTATGATCATTAAAAGAATTTATAAGGATCCTATATAATTTATTTTTACTTTTTATACAAAATTTATAGAAATATTGAAAAAAAAAATATATGAACAAATATTATTTCTATCTAATTCTTTTAATGCTATCAAATACATAAATAATGATCCGTACCATTAAAGGTATTTATTTCTCTTGGCTTTTTGGTGCTGCGTTTTGTAATTTCTATTGTATTTAAATGTTTTTTGTAATTGGTCCTTGGTAATTCTTCCTCATCGTCTGTAATGGAAATGTTGTTATCATATTTATTATCAAAATTACTCTTTTTTCTTCTATGGGATGTTTTATTACGATTCATATTGTTTACTTCTGACGTCTCATCTTCAATAATGCTGATATTGTCATCATTATAAACTTTACCAAGATTTTTTTCGTACGTTACAAATCCCTGAGGACAAGATGTTGTTTTTGATCGTTTAATATCTTTCTGCTGTTCTAATGAATTACATTTAATTGCTTTATCGCCTTTTTTTATTCTGTCATCAAGCACAGAATATTTAATATTATCTTCAATATTAATATCATTGAAATTAAAATGATTTGCTGATCTATCTTTTGTTTTCGTTTTTTTTTGTGATTTAATACTATCCTTAGAAGTGGAATTCATTATTGCTTTTCTTTTTCTCTCCTTATCCTGTTGTAATAATGCTCTTCTGTTTTCTAATACTTTTTCAAATTCAATTTTAGGAGTACCATAAACTTGACTTTCAAAATCTTCCGAATCTTTTATATTCATTCGTTGTAAACTGTTTCGTGACTGTTCTTGTAAAATTGTGTTTGGGCTCGCATGCATATTTACTATGTTGTGATTATTGTGATCAACACTTTTTTTTATTGTAGATGTATTTTGATGTTCTGGCACATAAGACCTCCTTAATGTTTCTTTACTATGTAAGTGACTGCCATACAATTTAGAATCATCATAAGCCCTTTGTTCTTTATTTGCATCGTTTGACTCTATTTTATAAGAGAAAACATCTTCAAGACAATTAAACATTTGTAAAATTTTTACAATGTATTCGTTAGGACAATTTTTATGTTGTAAATTATTGACAATGATATTGATTTTATCTTCCTTTATAATGTCTAATAATGAACGCTGATTTCGAACATTTAAACACTGAGTAATATTTGCAACATTATTATGCTCCTGTCGATTTTCCTTATTAAAAATTTTACTATCGTGAACTTTCTTTGTCGAATTAGGAATTGGTATATTTGTTAAATTTGGCACAGAAGTTTCAAGATTAGATAAATTATTATCAATGTTGATTTTGGTAGTATGATCCGTATCATTAATACATATTTTATTGGGAGATTTAAAATATTTGTCTTCGTCTATATGTATGGATTGCATTGTCACTTCGCTATTTAAATCATCATCACTGTCTGTAATTTTTGTTGGCCAATGAAAATTAACTTGATCGTTATTAAATACAAATGATTGCCATAATAAATATACATTTTCCCAATCGTCTGGGAAGCCATTATAAAATTTGCCTCTCACATATTTTGGTAGTTCTAAATCAAAATTTAAGAACAGTAATATTTGTTAATAATATTATAAAACGATTAATTAAGTTTTATGTAGAAGTTTGAATTCTTACCATTTTCCTTATCCACGATATTTCCTTCAAGATGATATACGAATAAACAAATAGACTGTATACTTCTAGCTGTTAATCTCCTAATTATAGGTTTACTGCACGCAATTTCTCCGCTAAAGAAATTAATATGAAATAATAGTAACGAACATTACTATGAATTTAGTCTTTAAAATTTACCTTTCTAATCGTCCCTTGATAACTAGTTTATAATCTTGGTTTAATATAACTTTCCAATTATAAAAACGCATAAATGATTTTTCATTTATTGGACCATTTATAGAATTTCTTTTAGATTGACCAAGATATTTATAAGTATTTAACGGTGTAGCATCATTTTTATCGAAGCAGTTATTTCGTTGAGGAGATTTTTTAGCACTTGAAAATGCAATTGTCGGTTCATAAGAAATATATTTGTTCATTTTCGTTACCATTACTTTTTGTCCATTGTTGTTGAAGCAGTTATCTTGTTCTGGAGATTTTTTATCACCCGAAGATGCAATTCTCGATTTATAAGATGTACATTTTTTGTTTTTTTCCATTATTCTTCGTTTGTCGTCTTCTGTTGTCATTATTCTTTGTTCATTGTTGTCAAAAAATGTATTTTTATCTTCTATCCTTGTAGACTCCGAAAACATAGAAAAACTCCAATTATATGCATTCGAATTATTCTTGGATGTATCAGCATTACTTGAATCTCCACTTCTCTTCAGCATAGACAGTTTTAAGGAACGCTCTAATCTTTTACAACGTTCATCTTTTTTAAATTTAGCAAAATTCATCTATAAATGATAAAAAAATTTTTACACTTTCAAACAAATATAACATCTTAAGTATAACAAGAAGTAATGCATACAAGTATAAACGTAGGCAAGGAAACCGTTAAAATTTGAAACTAACCTCCACTTCTGCCATTACATATATCTGAAACATCAAAACAAAGCTTTTCTAATCTATCTTAGAAAAAATATTTATAATATAGTAAATGTTATTTTAACTGCTTAGCATTTTTAATATGATTGTAGATAACTAATTTGCCAAGTTTAAAATAAACCGTGCGTATTTACAAAGAAATAAAATAGCACTTTAAATCTAACATTATACGTGATTATGATGGCATTTAATGTGGTATAAACGACCAACGAAAAATCAGCTTTAATTATCCAATCAATTTTGACATATAGATATATATATTGTTATTATATATATTTTGTTTTATTTTCTAGCATATTATTTAAAAAATTCCACTCTTATTTTATTATTATTTTTAATATAATGACAAGCATTAAATAAATAAACTAAGTTAAGTAAGTTAACTTCGTAATTAGTCAATGAACGATTAAACGCGGCATTAATAAATAAATAGTATATGAATATCAAATTTTATATAAAATCGCGCGGTATATCGTGAATTTAATGATTATTTGAAACTTTATATTCACTTCGATTATTCGCGCTTAAAGCAGCCATATTGAATCGAAAAGCATGCGCAACTGTCGTCTTCGTCAGCGCGTGAAATTTGGGGGGTGGGGAGAATTCTTTCCCAAAAGCGTGCATTGCCTGTCATCCGGATTATAATTCGTTGGTAAAGTACAATTTGTATTAACTAATTTATATTATTGATTAGTTAGATTAAATTTTTTCTTTTTAAATGACAATAAGACAATTTTGACAAGTGATATGTTTTGCAATTACATTGTTGCAATTATTATATGTGCAAAACAATTAGAGAATATAATTTAAAGCTAAATATATATTTATTTAAATATACGAGTTAAAAAAGTTTAAAAGAAAATAATATTACCCGGGGGTGGCTTTTCGCGTGAGTAGGGTGCGCATTTCCAAATAAGGTGTTCTGAAACGACCGATTCGTTTGTGTTAAATGGCGCTACTAGGACGTGGACGCCTAATGAATTACAATGTGGTGAATTAGAATAATGGCGGGAGTATTCAAATGTTCAGCCTTCTACCGTAGATATGTTTTACATTGTTTACCTATGTATAGTATAGAAAAGAAGAAGATAAAAAAGAAGAAAGGAAGGACGTATAAATAGTATATTTTTATACTGTTCACTTAGATTCTAATGAAAATTATTCCTCTTATTCAGTGAATCATACCGGTGACGCATCACCTGCCATACCCGTATGACTGTTACCGTATCAAGTAACTGTTTTTATCATGAAGTTACAGTGATATCGTAAAGATCAAAGACTACTTGAGAGTAATAAAATAGTAGTACGTATATAAACTCTTTTTTTGTATTCATTAAAGTGAAGCAGAGTGGAAGATTTGTGTATTTCTTTACATACGAAAGCGTGCGCGCATTCACAAATACATTTCCATCTTATGAAAAAAGTACTGAGTTATGCTATTTGAATATTGTAAATTACTTAAATATACCATGTTACCTTGCTTCAATCTCACTCAATTTACAATCACGATAAGATCGCGCATTAATTCTCTGTTTATTTAACTATAATATATTGTTGTTACATTAACATATGTACATATATATATATATATAATAGATATATAGGTACGTGACTGTAGCGTTTCTCATTATGAATCATGTTCTTATAAAAGCAACGGAGAGAGTTTATTTCTGTAGTCGCCAATTTCGGTTAGAATGAAATCTATTTTCTGATGCATCAAGCTCAGGATGCAGAGAAAGATAGAAAGGGAAAGAGTGAAAGAAAAGTTTCCTCTTATATTTGTAATAATTGGCAACCCTGGCATACACTTCATTTGCACATATTAACTCGTAGAAAGAGAGACCGGGATACAAAATCACGGTTTGGAAATATTCTTATTTCAGTCGCGCTCGTTTCGACGTCAAGGGTGGGGAATCTATTTATAAATTGGGGGATGTTCCATGCGTCGCCCACGCCCGCAGTGCCCACGTAACAATAATTTATTAAAATAATCATAATAGCCGGTGTATCAAGATATTGGTGTTTCCTTCTAGGTTAATATTTGTTGGTTTAATTTTTGTTTGCGTTGAAAGTAGGTGCAGATATGTCTTTTCGTGTTGTACGTAGCAGCAAGTTCCGCCACGTGTACGGAACGTCTTTAAAACGGGAACAATGCTATGACAATATTAGAGTTTCGAAATCCTCATGGGATTCTACATTTTGCGCCGTAAATCCGAAATTTTTGGCTATCATCGTTGAGTCCGCGGGCGGTGGTGCTTTCATAGTTTTACCCCATAATAAGGTAAATTTCTAAAGTTTTTCATTTCTTATTTATGCAATATATCTTTACTGAATATCATACATTGTAGTAGTGGTTTTATTAAGATTCTATATATATAATATATTTCATAGAAATTTGTTTCTTAGTTTATATGCATGATCATGATCATGAATACCTTAGTTACAGTAATCTCTAAACCAGAGCATTGAATTATTTTCATAGGTAGGAAGAATATCAGCAGACTATCCTTTAGTGGGTGGACACAAAGGTCCTGTATTAGATATCGCATGGTGCCCTCATAATGATAATGTCATAGCTTCGGGATCTGAAGATTGCGTTGTTAAAATATGGCAAATACCGGACGGAGGTATTTCCAGGACATTGACAGAGTCTGTGGTAGACTTACAATTGCATCAACGAAGGGTCGGTCTTGTGCTATGGCATCCTACAGCGTTAAATGTATTACTCACTGCTGGATCAGACAATCTTGTTTTAATTTGGAATGTTGGAACCGGTGAATGTTTAGTAAGAATAGACTCTCATCCTGATGTTATTTATTCTGCCTGTTGGAACTGGGATGGATCCCGATTGGTAACTACATGTAAGGACAAAAGGATTCGTATCTTAGATCCAAGAACAGGAAAAGTTTTAGAGGATGCTATTGCCCATGAAGGAAGCAAAGCAACACGTGCAATATTTTTAAGGTATGCAAATACACATTATATTTTTATTTTTATTGTTTATTTTAATTATTAAAAATGATCTACTTGTAAGTAACATTATTTTTATTTATCTTGTTTGAAATGTTTTTAATGTAATATAATTATAATCACAGGAGTATCAATTTCATAAGTTTATTCTTATGATTAGCTTTTTCTCACTATAATAGGTTTTATTTTATATTTAATAATATTGAAATAAACCAGTTTTTGAATTTTAATGAACATATAAGGCTCTTGCAAGATATTTTTGTAATATTTAAAAAAAGGCAGATTTATGATATTTGATATATATATATATATATATGATTTTATTTTATATAGTTATTTGCTTTAAAACGTTACATTGAAATAGATAATAAACATATACATTAACTATAGTCAAAATTTAAGCATGCACACTTATAGATATTAGAACTGTACTTTATATATAAAGGCATGTCTTCCATTTCTGGTACTTTACAACCATTAAGAAGTATAAAATATAGCTGCCTTAAATTGTCTTAATACAGCATTATAATGCTTTAATGTATCTACAAATGAAACACTTTATGTGCCTGTAAGATGCTTTCTATATTACAAGAATGACAGTAGTTAGTCTTAAATGCGCCTATGTAACAATAATACACTATATGCTTTGCAAATATCTATTATTTAATCACAACATTGGTGCATATTGCACAGGAAAATTTGCATACAAGGTGATGGTGCACAAATGCACACTTAGAGTGGTGAACATTTTTATATTTATGGGAACACAATAATAAAAATATATTTAATATATTAAATAATAAATCATGAAACATTTATTTCAGTGAATGCTCTTCACGCATAGAATAGAAATGCACAGTATCTTTAATTGTTGGAAATTTATTTACATAGTATTATTTATTTTTTTAGATTTAATAAAATAGGACAGTGTTGATGAGCAAGTGAATTTAACATATATTTAAGTATTTCTTTTATATCAATTGTAACATGTGAATTATCAACTTTTCCTAAAAGAATATGTACAAAATATTATATGCAATAACAACATATATTTGTGAACGATAGGATAATTTATATGTATCATTATGAATATCATTTTATACATATAAATTAATGGTTTACATAGGGTACTACATACTCTAGTCTTTTTAACGTAGCCAAGTAATTTTTTTTTCTATCGATCATCGAACTATATACATCCGCCTTTTTACATTATAATTATATCATATTAATTGCTCTTCTATTTAGGATTCAAGTATTTTAACTAAATTAATTGAAGAAGAAAACAAAATATTAAATTATAAACTGAATACTTTTCTTTCTTTTGTTAGGAAAAAGGGATATATATATTTTAATTGCTTCAAACAATCAGCCTAATTTAGTCAAATTGCTTGCTACATTGGTTTATTGTGATCCTTTTTATGTATTTCTGGATTATTCTTTGGTTATGAGAAAAATCTGCAACAGCTTTCTAAATGAGGCATTTGTCTGCACAATAGAATTATTTCCATTGCTTTTTATCACTTGGTCTTTCCAATTTGTGTAGTGCAAGATTCACATAATTTTAATGGAAAACTTCAAGGTTGAAATTTCATCATGAGGAGGACACCACCTTAATAAATGCAAATATCAAGACGTCTGCTCTATAATGTCCAGTTAAAAATTACAGTAAGTATTGTACATTAACTTATTCATCCGAAGTATCATGCTGAAAATGTAAAGTATCATTGTCTCAGTCTAGAATATGTGACTCTCTATATTAAAATATATTTAACTATTACATTTTATTTATATTTTTGGAAATAAGAAGAATCATTTGCTGCTCACAAATTTGAAAGGGAAGTATGTTAGATCTATATTGCATACATATCACAGAAACATTTTGCATTCTTAGAAGATAGATGATTGACAAAAATTAATTTACAGTTAATGTCAAATGTGTCAAGGATAATTTTCCATTTTCATTTAACTATAATAAAATGTCCTATTTTTTTAAATCTAATACTACAGCAACATGGTACAGTTTGTGAAGACTACTAATGCTGGCTACTGAAATATTCAATTAATAAATGTACTGTTGAAGTTTTACTATATCTTCATTATTTAAATGTATAGAAACAATATAATCGCATTTTTAACAAGTTAAGTTTGTACGTGGCTACAGACTAGTAATACAATAATTCCTCCGATGAAAGCACTTATGAACAGTTGCAAAGTCTCTGTTTATGTTGTAACAAGGTGGATGTTAATAAGTACTGATGATTAATATAGGTACAGAAGATATAATGTATTGCCTCCGATAATACAATAAAAATAAAACTAAAACAAATATACAGTATGTACCTTAATCAGGCACGCGGCCAACTTGATTATCTATCTTCCATGTACATTACACATTATACACAAATAAAACATGGATTATCCTTTATATCACATCTTTTACAGTAGGGATTTCGGTTTTATGTATGATATTTCATATTTTAAATATCTACTGGGGAAGATTTCTATTTTAAAAAAGGTATAAATTAATTTTCCTTTGCTAAAATATCCTACTCGAATATTAATATCTTTATTGTAATATTGCTTATTGTCAATTGTTTAAATTTGTATTGCTAAAGAAAAGAAGGAAAATTAATTTACTTCTTCTCATGGAGTCATACCTCCGTGTATATATATATGCATATATAAATATGTACACACATTTTCATGGAATTGCACCAAAAACCATGTTATTATTAAAGAAGATATGCCGATTATCTTCAATAATTATGTGACTTATATTTACACATATTGTATAAAGGAGTGAGAGAAAATGCTAAGTTCACCACTCAAACCTACCAAATTAAACCAAAATTGGAGTAGTAATTATCTATTAATATATTAATGGCATATCAATTTAATTATCTAATAGTGCTTGTAACATTACTAATCCAGTGCCAATAATTGGATAAGTTAATATTTTCCATTAATATTTAATAATATTTATTCTGTTTCAGGGGAGGTTTGGTTTTCACAACTGGGTTCAGTAAAATGTCTGAAAGGCAGTATTCGTTACGAGCCCCAGATATGTTAGGTGAACCTATAGTTATGGTAGAATTAGATACCAGCAACGGAGTTATGTTTCCTTTGTATGATCCTGATACAAATTTGGTATATCTGTGTGGCAAGGGTGATTCTGTTATTCGATACTTTGAGATTACACCCGAACCTCCGTTTGTTCATTATATCAATACTTTTCAAACTCCTGACCCTCAACGAGGCATAGGAATGATGCCAAAACGAGGTTGTGATGTTAATAGCTGTGAAATCAGCAGATTTTATCGACTAAATAATTCAGGCTTTTGTCAAGTCATTTCGATGACTGTTCCTAGAAAGGTAAATGTTGTTACAAATTGTTATATGTATTATGTTGTTACAAATTGTAAGGTTGCTATATATGCGTGTATTCTTGTTTTATTTTCTTCTTTTATATACCATAATATCTTGTAGTCTGAGCTTTTTCAAGAAGATTTATATCCTGATACTCCTGGAGATACAGCTGCAATAACTGCAGAAGAATGGGAGAGCGGTGCTGATGCAGATCCCATACTGATATCTCTTAGAGATGGTTATCAGCCATCGTCATCTAAAAATGAACTTAAAGTACATAAGAAAACGAATATATTAGATAAAGGAGCCAAAGTTGGATCCAATCCTGCACAAAATACTGCACAAGTCTCACCTGGCATTCTTGTAAGTTTTATCTTTTCTTTTTTAAGAAAAAAATTCATACATGTGCTATATGTCATATTCTAAAAATAGTATTTTACTCTATGTAGGAAGAAATGTTAAAAGAATTCACAGAGGAAATCAGAAAATTAAAAGCTGTGATTGTAAAACATGAAGGAAGGATACGAGTATTGGAATCAGCCGTGGCTCTTCAAATGAAGGAAGAAGAGAGAAATGAAAAAACATCTTCTCCAGCTGACAGAGAGTTGCTAGCTTCTGACGAAGTGTAATTTCAAAGTCATATTTTTAGCTGACAAAAAAAAAGATAATAATAATAATAATAATAATAATACAAAAGAAATTAATCGTGTAACAAAGTAATTATATATTTTGATATAACAATTTGTGTAAATAGTAGGTTTCAACGATGTGAGGCGTGTTTTGATTCTTGCAAAGATCTTTGCTATTTATTGTACATCATTCATCATACATCTACATTTGTATTATCTTTACATCTCTTTATTGTGTTACAAAGTTAACTAATATGGTGTTAGCTGTTGTTAGTATTAAGACATCCCATGATTGTATCATGATATATACTATAGTATTTCACTATGTATATGAAACTTTATAACAATAATTGTTGAAAAGAAAAAAAGAGTGCCTAATTTGTACAGATATTTTGCTGTAAAATAACAAAAGTAAAATATTCTATTTAAATACGTGCTACCCTCCAGTTCCTGTATCTTGATAAAGATGAAAACTCGTTTAAATTAAAAAGAAACTATAAAGAGAGAAGAAAATAATATATATAAATATAAACGCGAACGATATATCGTAAATTCTGAAAAATAAAAAGAAAATTTCTTTTAAACAATTTTCATATACATAATATGATAAATATATATAATACAAAATTTGAACTGAATGTTTATCTGTAAAAGATATATGATAGGTTGTTATCTATTATAGTCGTTCTTTTTTCTAATTATCTACAAAGCGTTACTTTGATAGGTTGCAAAAACCACGGTGTGTGGGGGGGTATTTAATTCTGATAATATCCGAGAGATATCGCTTTAATCGAAATAGTTAGGGTTCTCAGTTGGGTCCCGGGCCGGTTCGTTTATACGGTTCTCTTGTAGTTATCGTGAACAGTTCACACAGATCGCTGGACGATGCGAGCTGTCGCGATTTTCGTCGGTGAATATGTCCTTCGTTAAATCGTAACGTTCTTATTTATTCAATTGGACGATCGTGGACGAAACGTTGAGACGATATATCTCGCGGTGAGTAAATGCCATTCAAAGAAACTTTCGAATTATTACATAGAAATATTCTTTAAACAAGTAAATAGAAGAAAGAGAGATAGAGAGGGAAAGAGAGAGAGAGAAAGAGAGAGATTTATAGATGTAGGTGTAACATGGGATATTGTAAAAAAAAAAAGAGACACGAGTCCCGTGGCGCGCCTTCTTCGTTCCTTGTTCGAATCAATGCACGCTCGAACCCGGCTTATAACCTCTTAAAAAGAAAGATATTTACCTGAAAGCTATAGTCGTTTCCTATTGTTCGAAATTTTATTGTCCCTTTTTTTATTTTTCGATTAGATACGCTTGACTTGGTTTTCTATTAACGTTTCGTAAATGGATTCAATGTAGGACCATACCTAATCATTATTTTACCTACGGCCTGTCTTGACATTCGAAAACATTTGGCACGAAAGCGGCAGCTATTTCGAATACGTCCTTGCGACATCGGCCCCTCTTTTCACAAATGGATTTTACGAGAGTTTTATATATATATGTATATATATATATATCGTAAATTTTTAGAGTGTATTGTCCGCGCAAGTCCTCATTATCACTAAAGGGTAAGATATGAGCTCTCGGGATTGTGGGGTGGTGGATAGAACAATTCGAGTGGGGATTTTTAAAAGGAACATTCGAATATTTAGCTTATTATTGTATCCTGGTACTTGCCCTCAGGTGCAATTTTTCTGTTAAGAAGGACGAATCGTGATTTTCCAATGTAATTTACGCCTATCGTTGGTACGCACTTCGTTCGAGATAGGGTTACGTAATTACACGTGCTCAAGGGGGCATTATCAAGGTCTTGTTTTCTAGAGGCCATTCTCGGCATTATCATATATCCAAGGATACTTGGTTCCCTATTTAATATTCTTCTTCATTTATCGAAGAAAATCTTATGTCTTTTAATTAATCGAAATTTTTCAATTTTCTTTGAACATTTCTTACACAAAGACCTTTTATACTTTGCATTCTCGTAAGATACATACATTATTTAAGATGGCGGACTTAAGTGTGACGTCTTGGATAAAAATTACTATAATTAAATTCCAAGAATTCCCGCGTAATTTAAGATGTCGTATAATATTATTTTCACATTTTTCTTTTGTTTTTTCTTTTTCTTTTTTTTCGCATCGAAAAGAGAAAACAAAAAAAATTAATTTTTATTTGATTAATTATTAACATGTCACCGAGATCAAGTCACCAAGTTTACGAATTTATATTTGCTTTCACTCAATATTAAGAAAAGCTAAGATAATTGTATGACGTAACTCACGCACACACGCATACTCATAAATATACGTATACATATGTTTGCCACGAAAACGAATAGGAGTTTCTATAATGCAACAGGTACTGGTAGCAACTAGTTTATACTCAGCGCGATTCACGTGATACATTCGTTTGGCATTACAATACTTCGAGCGTAAAACTTGTGCCAAATTTTTATTGTAATAATGTGTATCATATCGCTGTCTCAATACCATTTTATTTTCGAAATCAAATAAAAGGTTTATAAGAGTCCGATCTTACCTGCGTATCAATTTGATTATCTCTGAACAAGTTCACATAAAAAATCTGTATTTGCTCTCTCTTATTAATTATTTTGAAACATTGATATTAAATGTATATATATATAATGCATAATTAATATATTTATGATACATGTGCATATAGTTGAAATATTATAGAGGACATTGTCTTTTATTTGTCACTTCCTCGTCTATATACAAATTGGAATCGTTACAAGAATTTGCACGTGGAAGACGGATTCGTATATATGTAGATTTAAAGATAAACAAGAGAGGAAGGAATTATTAGATAAGCATGAGATGTCCGATTTCGAACTGAAAGAAAAAAAGGGAGAAGGGATAGAAGGATAGAGAAAAAGTAAAAATAATAGATTGCTCGAAAAGTTCGTATTAATTTTGAAAAATAAAATTATTCGAGGGCACACAAACTTTTCGGGCAATCCAATATGTAGAAAAGATGGATCCTAAAAATTTCTAAATGATTTAAAAAATTAATTACATTGTTTCAACATTTTTTTATATTAATTTTCTTTGTAGATCGTAACATTACAAGATTAGGAATTTTTGTTAACCACCTTGTAAATATAAAAGAAAACATTCATTAATCTACTTCATAGGTTCATCCTATATTACTACTATAATCGTACAATCGTGTATTTGAATTATTTGAAAAAATCAATGTAAAAATCATAAAAAGTATTTTACGTATGTCACGTATGATACACGCAAGTACTTATTAGATCCGTTAAGGATCGTAACGAATAATCTAATATCGCGCGATTCACGTATTTGATGAAGAAAATATAAATAAAAATGAAAAGAAAGAAAGAAAGAAAGAGAAAGAAAAAACTGTGTAAAATAAAAAGAATATATAGCGAGGTAAATGGTGATGCATATATATATGTAACTAGTATCAAGTACAACATGTAAACCGATAAGATACAGTCTATGTATGTATATATACTTATGCACTTATATCCTATACGAAATTGGCACGTCACGTGAGATTAACAATTAGAAAAGGTAATACAACAAAAAGAATTTAAGCTTGTCGTCAACTAGTCTTCTTTTACTCATTGCCAATTTCGATATCCTTCCTCTTCTCTTCGTATTGTATATGCATTATAGAATCGTATTTAATTTTAACTAATTATATCCTCGAGATAATTAATTGGATAAACTAAAAATAGAAAGAGTATTTTATTTTTTAATGACTATTAATAACTATTTTAAATAGTTAGATAAATAGAGATAGATATTTTTTTGTTAAATATTCAAAACTCCTAATCTCTCTCACAGGGGGTACTTGTATTTTTTAATTAATTTTTATTTGTCGCAGTTAACTTCAAATATTTTTTCTCTCTTCTGTCTGTCGTGATACGTTTTCTTAAGAAATTTTCTCCACATATTTTGTTGCATTCGTCATTAATAATCATATCGTAATTCATCCAACATTTTTTATTTATATTTTCTCTCTTTTCTTTTTTTTTCTTTTCCATCTTCTTCTTTCATTTCTTCTAATCCTTAACACGATAAGTTTTTTATCGATCCTTATCTAATTGTAAACTGAGATTTCTCACTAAGGAAATTAGCGATACATATTTTCTGCATGCGTCAATAGTCATCGGTAAAATGCGTAATGTCTCATGCTCAGAAGAAACAATTTCATTACGTAATTTTTTTACTAATGATATAATCTTTATTCAAGATCGTAAACAACTAACTATAGTAAAGATTAGTTAATCGTAAGCTTCAACATATGGATTACACACATACTCTTTCTTTTTTTAATTTATTTTCTTTTATTATTATTTTCTTTTTACATTGTAATTTTAAATCAATTAATACGCAATTTATATTATAATCATTTATGCATTAAAAAAATATATATACTTCTGTTTGATCATCTTCAGTCGAGTTAATGGAAATTTACATTAAACAAATATACTATCACGTGTTCGTAACATGAATCTATTATCATATTAACAAGTGTATTAATTCGAATTCTCACATTAATTACATTCAAAATGTTATTTATAATAACGAGCAAATTGAGACTTTCATTATCTATGAGGATTATCTTTTTCAATCTTATTCCTCATAGAAAACAGCCAAATTTATTTACTATGACTACGAAAAGAAAAAAAGAAAACGTATATGAATTTGATTAACTTTATTGTGTAACATTAATTTGTGAACTGACGAATTTGTTCTTTCGAAACACTTATAATAATCTCTTGCGCCTAAGGGCATTCGATTGTATTATCTATTTTATCGTATTATAATTTCTATTATTTCAACATCTCTAATCTCCGACATTTCCTAATCTTAAATTTGATTTCAGATTTTTCTTGAAGGATTTATTTACCGTCGAGGGAGAGAGAGAGAGAGAAAAAGAAAACGAACAAATAACTAAATAATTAAATAAATAAATAAATAAATAAATAAAAAAAGAAATATGGCGTCGTTGAAGTTACTGGTAGCAGGTGCTAGCGCTGTAGGAACTGGCGCATTAACATCTTATTTATTCTTATCCGATTCAACGGTGAGTATTTTAGAAGACAATTACTCTTAAAAATGTTTTGCATAGTGAGAGAGAGAGAAAGAAAGAAAAGATAAAGATAAAGATAAAGATAAGAAAAATATCGATATAAAAACTTGTCTCGATCGTAAGTAATTCAAGGACGTAAACAATATATATTTTATAATACGACTTTTAGATAGCGATAGTCAGTCAGTCAGTCAGTCAGTCAGTCAATGATCACGTGGTTGTATACCAAAAATTTCACGAGTTCTAAAAGAGCATGTGCCAGGCCAGGGTAAATCTTAAGGCCGGTGCTAAACGACTATTTCTAACACACGAACGAAACAAAAACGTTTTCGAATAGAAGAATCCCAATGTAAGATGATCGCAGACTCTCTGGTTAATATTGTATTAAATATATTTTCAAATATGAGACTTGTGTTAACTTATTTACAACTCATTATAGGAACATTTTTTTACTCGTTAATAATCGTCGAATAATTTCAAGTTGATTCATTTAGAGATCATATGAAAATGACTATTTTCGTCTAAGCTTTAATAAGATGTACATACACAGAGAGTACCAGCAGCAGAGACAGGCAAACCTAAATACATACATGTAAACGCAATCGTTCCCCTTTTTTTTAAAATATGCAGCATTACAAGCGAACGTGTTGCGAAAAATGAGTATGTGTTTTTTCGAAAGTTAGTCTTTGACCATAAAAGTTTCGGTGAATGTAGGAGGATCTTTAATCTTGTTAAATCATATGCTAAAGAAATCGTGATACTTAAAAAAAAAAAAAACTGTTTTCTTTCGATTACATACTTTTGAATAATTCAATTCTATAATGTAATTATAGAAAAAGAACATAAAATTGTGGATTAAAATGAATTTATCAATGAAACATAAGGTTTTTCTATTAGAAGATCTTTAGTGAGAATGTTAGAGTTCACTTTATCGCGATTATTTCTTTGTTTCAAGGCTATTCATATAGCTGGCACGTATGTTCGCTAACCGCGATAATAGTCAACGCATAAATTTAGGATAGTCGAGATATTTAACTATTTGTTATCTAATTCATACGATTTATTATTTCTTTTTTTTTTTCTCGTGTGTGGATATTATAAATTTATAAGTATATAAATAAAAATATAAAATATATAACTACGAAGGGGGGTATACGGAATGAACATGATCAAAGCTTTTATCGATTAGAAATTAACAAAGTGTGAAGACGTTCGAGCTTCCCATAAGGCTGATCTTTTTATTTTTACTACTTTATTTTTCCGGAAATTACAGAAAGAATAAAACATTAATAGATCGATATTTAATGATACCTTGATCTATACCAGAGATCTAAAATGTGAGTCATTATAAATGTTCAAATATGGAAGTAATTTACATATTCATTTAGAGAAAGTTCATTAAGAATAAGATAAGAAAAATTATCGTTTACGAAAGCGAATCTTGGGTCATTAAAATTTGGAAAGCCTTGATCTATAGAGATACAATTTTTGAAATAATATTTATATATATATATATATTCAAATTATTTACTTATCATCGTTATAATGTTTATACACAAGGTACATGCCGAAAAGCCAAAACCAGTTAAGAGACCACTGCCAACTAGAGAAAATCAAGTAGCGACTTTGAAATCTCAAGATTATGATGTTCTTATCATTGGAGGTGGTGCAACTGGCGCAGGATGTGCTCTGGACGCTTGCACAAGAGGTAATTTATATCTATATTGATTATAAATCGATTAAAAACACTTTATCTGAGATAAGAAAAATAAATGTATAAAAAATGAGTATTGTAATTATAATAGAAATGTTTGTATCTTGAATGTAAATATTTTTCGTGAAATTTGACACGATAATAATATATATTACTATGTTATTATATTATATTATTATATATAAGAAAAATAATTATTAATATTTTATACTTATACTTTCTTTTTATGTTTCATTAAGGTTTAAAAACGGCATTAGTGGAAGCGGACGACTTTGCCTCCGGCACTTCCTCCAGGAGTACGAAATTGATTCATGGAGGTGTCCGTTATTTGCAAAAAGCTATAATGCAAATAGACATAGAACAATATAAAATGGTTAAAGAAGCTTTACATGAACGTGCATCGATGTTACAGAGCGCACCTCATCTCGCTCATCCTTTACCTATCATGTTACCTGTTTATACGTACGTATCGTACCATTGTAACACGATCATCTTATTAGTTACATTTATAAAACGTTCAACAAAAGCCCGCTAGTTCTTCCTTTATTAATTTTTATTCCCTTGTGTTTATTCGATAGATGGTGGCAAATTCCCTATTATTGGTTTGGTATAAAAATGTACGACATAGTAGCAGGCAGTAAAACTGTTAAGTCGTCATATTATCTTAGCAAATCGAACGCTCTCGAACTTTTCCCTATGTTGAAGGGTGATAAACTGACAGGGGCTATCGTTTATTACGATGGTAAGATCGAATTTAAAAAATTATTCTTTTTCTTTTTTACAACTTTTAATATCTCTTAATTATTAATGATTTAATATTATACATTAAATCTTAGGTCAACAAGACGACGCTAGGATGAACTTAGCGATTGCTTTGACAGCCTCCAGACACGGAGCAACGGTTGTTAATCACGTTAAAGTCGTTAATTTGTTAAAAGGTCTCGATAGAGTAAGTAAATAGTTTTAAAAGACACATTGGACAATTAAATTAAAATTTATTCTTTTCATTGTTTTATATTCTTTCTCTGCTTTGTGCAGGATGGTAACAGGGTACTTACAGGAGCTCGTTTGAAGGACGAACTCACAGGAGAAGAATGGGATGTAAAAGCAAGGGCTATAATAAACGCAACAGGACCTTTTACGGACCATATTAGAAAGATGGATGACCAAAATGTGAAAGAAATTTGTGCTCCTTCGTCTGGAGTCCACATTGTTTTGCCAGGCTATTACAGGTATGTAATCGTAAAATAGTCAATTTTTATCCTACAAGTCGTAAGACAACAAAAAAACAAGTTCTTAAGAAATTCTTTAGTCCCGACCAGATGGGTCTCCTCGATCCTGCAACTAGCGACGGTCGTGTTATTTTCTTTTTGCCATGGCAAAAGCAAACAATCGCAGGTACAACCGACCTACCCTGCGAAGTAACGCACAATCCACGTCCGACCGAAGACGAAATTATGTTCATTTTACAAGAAGTTAAGAACTACCTCAATCCTGACGTTGAAGTACGTCGTGGTGATGTCTTATCAGCTTGGAGCGGTATCAGGCCATTGGTATCCGATCCGAACAAACCGAATACACAATCGTTAGCTAGAAATCACATAGTGCACGTTAGTCCTACGAAACTTATTACAATAGCTGGCGGAAAATGGACAACATATCGTGCTATGGCCCAAGAAACAATTGATGCAGCCATCAAAGGTAGCTCTTACTATCCCAATATCCGAATATGAATAATGAATATGACAGATATATGATAATGAATAATGCGCTTTTTCTACAAAAGATAATTATATTAATCTAATAATACTTCTAATATACAGCCTGCGATTTAAGTCCCGAAAGAGAATGCCAGACTGACGGATTTCTCTTAGAAGGAGCACATGGTTGGACTCCTACGATGTATATTAGATTAGTACAAGATTTTGGATTAGAATGTGAAACCGCACAACATCTTTCCAAAAGTTATGGAGATCGCGCATTTGCAGTTGCAAAAATGGCATCCCTTACTGGCAAGCGTTGGCCTATCATTGGTAAAAAAATCCATCCAGAGTTTCCATATATTGATGCTGAGGTAAAAATTAATTTTTCTTCTTATTTACAAACTAAATTATATAAATATCATTAGATAATAATGTTTGTATTTTAGATCCGTTATGGCGTACGTGAATACGCTCGAACTGCAATCGATATGATCGCTCGACGACTCAGACTTGCCTTTCTTAATGTACAAGCTGCCCAGGAAGCACTTCCAGGAATTATAGATATTATGGCTGAAGAGCTTCATTGGTCAGCCGAAGAAAAAAAGAAACAACAACGTGAGGCTAGCGAATTTCTTTCGAATGAGATGGGACAAATGGTGAATCGCGCTTCCAGGGACAAAATACCCATTAATCTTACAAAAGACGAAATCCAATTATATATCAAACGTTTTACTATTATCGATAAGGACAACAAAGGATACGTGTCGATTAATGACATCAGGAGAGGACTCAAGGTTTGCTTTCAAAAATAATTCGTCTTTCTATTCTATCTTTCTTAATATTATTTTAGTATATATTATTCGAGTTCCTTCATTTTATACTTTATGCGATCATTAATATCTAGGTACTTGGTATTAAGTTAAACGAAGATGAGATACACACATTACTCAATGAAATTGACCTCAGCTATAATGGGCAAATGGAGTTACAAGATTATTTACAGGTAAATTATTAAGAACATTTATAATTTAGATATTTTGTTTACTATTCACAGCTTTTTGGTGACAAGGATGTACCAGGCGAAGAACTTCACGAAATACTCCGCGAAATCGACACTAATATGAACGGTCAAGTTGAATTGGATGAGTACCTTCAGGTCTGTGAATATTAATATGCACAGATTGCCAAATAGTTTTGCTGCTCTTAATATATTGTTTGTTATTTTTACTTTGCAAGATATCAAATTATTATTCATTTTTGTTCTCTTTTTTTTTTTTTTTTTTTTTTTTTTTTTTTTTTTTTTTTTTTTTTTTTTTTTTTNTTTTTTTTAATTAATTTTTTTTTAAATCTGTGAATATTTGCCAATTGGTAATAGCTGTGCAAATTGATTCCAAATAATATCTTAATAATATGCTTGTTTTCTATCTCATCCTCTGATATTTTACACAAACGATAGTATATTACTAAAAATACTCATCTTTCAAACCTGTTGCACTTATGCTGTGATGACGTGCCATTTGCAGCCTGGTAACAATTCTTTGCTAATTATTATATTAGAGATCAAATTGATATTTCAGTTATAAAAGACTTGTGCTATTCTTTTTTTTTTAAATATATATATTTATTTTGCAATTGTTTTATGCATGATTATATTTATCTATTTGTTATTACACGAGTTAAATGAAACAAAAAAGTATTATTTTAATTTCATCATTTTTTATATTGTTTCGTTCTCTTTTTTTACTGAATTTAATTTATGTATTTTCAATGATTTATATTTGGATTACTTTTGTAAATGAATTACGTAATAACAAAATCTCCATAATTACTTCTATAAAATAACTAATTTATATAAATTGATATATTTTATTATAATTTTGTTTGAACAAAATTTTATGTACTGTCTTTTTCTTAAATTTATTTTAATTAATATTGTGTAAACTTACAATGAATTTTGTGTGTAAAAGTTTCAATATCAAAATTTTACCTATGATTTTTTTTAAATACAGATGATGTCAGCTATAAAATCTGGACATGTGGCATACTCTCGTTTTGCACGAATGGCCGAGATGGAGCAAGAACAACACGAAAAAGAAATGTTGAAGAAACAAATTAGCGTTGAAAGATCCGGTGGAGGACTGTGAAGAAATTTCTGTCCAACAGAAATTACTATCTTCCTCTATTTCCGTATAGCATACTAAAAAAATTGCAATAAACTATTTATTATAGTATGTTACAAAACTCGAGGCTGCACACTTAAGAAAAACTATTACAAATACTCTGAACGGTTTTTATTATCTGCAGTTTGAACAATTCTAGTTCAGAGATTTGAAGATTTGTTATATTGCACTTTAACAGCAAGTATATATATATATATATATATATTGCTGTACATATGTAAAATATATGGAATATGTGAAAACTAAAATGTGAAATGAAAACATCTTTAATGTATATAGAAAAGTTATAAGAATATGCAAAATGCAGTATGGTTATCGCTCTGAAAGATTTTATAATATAATTATTGAATAATTATACTGCAGATAATTATAATATCAAATACACATAATGATCAAAGTATCTTTTAAGAAATTCATGTACTTGCTATGAAGCTATTAAGTCTTGTAAAGGCATAAATACATTAAAAATACGTATCATTAAATCGCACATATTATCATAAAAATAAAAAAAGAAGAAACATTACATAAAAATATATCGCATACAATAGTCAACGGTTTTCTCGAGTGTATTTTAGCAGAATTATATTACGTATTAGAATTCAAACGAGATTGCTTTTATTTGTAAATTGTTAGACCAAAATGTTAAACGTACGATGTATGAATTACAAAATTGATAAAAGAGATCTATTTATTAAGAAACTTTTATTGTTATTCATGAAAAGTATTTATTAATTTATTTCATGCTACTATCGCGTACCATTAAATTAATAAACAGTATAAACAAATAGTACTTTCACGTATCATTTCTTTCAATCAAGATGATTACACTGTAATTTAAAACTATTGTGAAATAAGATTAATGATTATTTTCACTATGAGAAAAAAATAAAAAAACTGTGCATTATTTATTTATTTAATTATTTATTTATATCTATTTATGATGTAGATACATAGATGTTTACTATGTACTTATGTTTTAACAAAAAATGTTAACTGATCATGATTATAATAAAAATGATATACATATACAAATTATATGTATTATACCTTATTATGAAAAGCATATAAAAATAAGTTTAATCAACTTTCTTTTTATTTTCCTGATGTATATCTCTTTTCTCTCTATGTATATACATTTATATATACATTTATATATATACATCTCTATGTATATATATTTGTATATATAAACATATGTATATAAATATATATATGTAGCATAGAGACGAGAATAGAAGAGAAGAGGAAAGAGAGAGAGAGAGAGAGAGAAAGAGAGAGAAAGACAGAAAAAGAGAAGAGTATGATTATAAAGGTTCAATTTATTGATTTATCTAATTTTAAATATATTTAGATAGAAAGAGAGAGAAAAATTTCGGTTAACTAATATACTAAAAATAAAATAAAAATAAAAGAATATAAATTCACCTATCGGCACAAACGCGTAGTGTTAGTCCAATAGCGGATGATAGTTCAACATTCGATGGCACAAGTAAACTCACTGTATAACAAAAGGTGAAGAAAAGGGCTACAGAAGGTATTCAACTGTAAGAGAAAACGCGTAAACCGTGTCCAAGGACTAGAAAAAGAATTCTTTCGTTCCTTCATTCGGTCGTATATTACCTGCTGAGAGGAAGGTTGGTCAAATACAACAGAAACAATCCAAAGGGAAAAAAGGGAAAATTGAAAAAAGAAAGAAAAAAAAAGTGAAAGTATAAAGAAGGAAAGAGAAGGAAGCTATGTGTTCTTAGAACAAGCCTCGTGATCCGCTTAGTCGTGGCCTCCAGAATAGGGTGAAGAGGGATGAGAAGAAGGGGAGAGGAGGACTCTTGGGACAAAAAGAGGGGAAGTAAGGCCTGAGTGAAAGTAGGAGGTGGTTTAGCCCCTCGGTTGGGGTGGGCGTCCGACGGTTAGCGCGTACGCCCCTGCGTAACGAGTTTCGGTCTCGGAGCGACGCGTTCGACCAATCGGAGCCACCGTCGGTCGTCCTCGGCTACGGTGAACGGTGCTGCTTGCGCGCCGCCCCACCGTCCAAAGTAGTCCTCTTTCGGTGCTGGATTCGTGGCCTTGTTTCCGTGAACGCGAGGGACGAACGAAACGGCGCGTCCCACGTATTTGATGCGTGCCCCGCGCGCACACGTACACGAACTGTTCTATAGTAACAAGCACACATACTTACCTTAACGCGTCCTCCTGTCCGCGCCTACCAAGCAGTCACGTTGCGAATTGCGCTTGATCCCAAACGATCATCATCCTCCTCCTCGTGTGATATCGTGTTTTCCTCTTTCGAACTAATGTTGTGAATGTGAATTCACTTCCCTGAAAACTTTTGTGTAGCGGCGTGCCCGCTCGAGTATTCTTGGACCTCTTTCCCCTCTAACTTCTTCGTCGAAAATTACTTTTAATTTTGGCGGCAATTTCGAACACGATAATTTTTTTTATTATTAATTAGGGTAATTATTTTAATGAAGAAAACATACGCGTAGGATTAGTATAATGGAAAAAGGAATGTAACAGTAGTGTCATGATGTGGCGAGTGTTGGTAGTATAGTAGTGTAGTGGTATTAACAGAGTGGTAGTGTTAGGTAGTAGTGGTAGTGCAGTAGTGTAGTAGGACTGGTGTGAGAATCGAAGAAAGGAACCAGTAGTAAACGTGCAGACGTATGCATAAGGCGGTATGTAGTAAGGAGATATCTTGTAGAAAAAAAAAATATAACAATGCTACCTGCTCGAACTACTTGCAAGGAGCGCATTGAATATAGCGCGTAAGAACTCTTTCGAAAGTACTGATCGGTTCGAGAAGGATTATTTAATAAGATTAATAATTATACGAAGATGTTTGTTTCAATGTAAAGAAACTGAAGAGACGCATTTTAAGGTTAGAATTATAAAAGGAAAAAAATAGTGGCTCTCAGAAAGTAAATTTTGTTAGATACATTGTGTGCACTAGAAAGATTGTGAAGGGGGAGGGAGAGGCAAGGATAGAGCGCGCGTAGAAGCAGAGTGGACGACCAGAGGCGGAAGAGGAAGGGGCGGTGGTGGTGGCGGTGGCGGCGGGAACGGAAGAGGAGGAGGTGGTGGAGGCGGCGGCGGTGCCGTTTCGTAGAGCCAGAGCACGTGTTGGCCGAGAATTAGGTGGAGTCCCATGTGCAAAGTGGGTGGAGGCTGCCGCATCGTGAGGCTGCCTTCCGCGCGTTATATCGCAAGTACGTGAGCCCGAGTATTAGTGTGAGTACGAGGGTGAACGCCTGCGAGCGAGCGAAAGGGCGAGCGCGAGTGGGCGGGTGTGACGACGCGTTCGCGCCTCTGTGTGTTGGTATTGTACGCGCGGCCTTACGCCTCTACCAGCGCAGATACGCCGATACGTGCTCTCTTCCGAGAAGAGGCGACCGAACACGAGCGAGAAAACGACTGAGTTAGTGGTTGAATGTTTATATATATGTGTGTTGTGTATAGTGTGTGTGAAAGAGAGAGAGAGAGAGAGTGAGAGAGAGAGAGAGAGAGTGAGAGAGAGAGAGAGAGTGAGAGAGAGAGAGAGTGAGAGAAAGAGAAAGTGGGCGAACGGGTGGGACAGTAGGAACAGGGGCGTAGGGAGGCGGTCCTCGATCGGGTTCTCGAGGAGGGCTCTGTGTCCATCTTTGTCTCGGAAGAGAGTAGCCCCTCGCTTCGCGCACGTGTCAATATATCGCATCGCGCGATCGTCCCTGCTGGACCGATAGAGTAACAATAATCCGTCACTGATTTCTCTTCAATCTTTTTACTTCGTATTCTTCTTTCACGGTAGATACATATGTACTTGTCTCATTCGACGTCAACTCTTATTTATACGCCTCGCCCGTCGCGATATATGTGAAATTCTAATGAAACGAAACAGATCCGGATGGATCTAATACTATCTTACTCGTATCCTCGATACTATTTATTTCCAAAACGATGTCTTCTTCTTTCCTTTCCTTTTATGGAAACAAACCTCCATGGAATTCTGCGTGAAAAAGATATCCATTTTCAGGAAGTGTACCGACAGAAAATAAAGTGGTTTTTATTATTACAATAACAACTTCTATCGCGGGAGAATGCTGAAAAATGAAATCCTAGCATAAAAACTGTAGACGTCAAATTGATTTTAAAGTTTATACTGATTTACTTGCCAAAAGTAAAAAATAAATATTTTCATCATGAAGCGCAGCGCTGATGGAAGAACTATCACTCAAGTAAGAAAAACTTTGTTTACATTATATTTTTATTATTCATGATATTGTTTTCATGTTATGATTTTTAAATTATACAAAAAAAGAGACATAAACATTGTTTGGTTTGATAGGAAGAGATCGATGAGCAAGATCCTTTACAATCGCAAACTTCTCAACATCAAGATGAAGCCGAACAGCAACAGTTGGACCAACAACAGCAAACGGCTCAACCACAAATTAGATTTTTAAGTTCCAATATGTTACAACAACTTCAACAACAACAACAAGATGTTCAACAGCAAGCGCAACAACAACAACAGCAACCACAGGTTATTACTTTACAACAACTGCAAAATTTTGTGCCTTTACAAGCCCAACAAGCGCAACATGATCAACAAAGGACGCAAACAATTTCTGTACAATCTTTGCCTCAGCAATTTTTACAGGTAGGTCAATTAAATAATGTCTTTGTTCAATTAGTAGTTTCAATGCAATTTTCTTGTTTATTTATAGGGTGCACAAATACTTGGTACTCAAGCTCAAGCAGCGCTTCAGCAGCAGCAACAACAAGCACAGCAACATCAGGCACAACAACAAACGTCACAACCGCAGCAACAGCAACAGCAACAACTTAGTTATAATGTGATACCACAAATGCAAGCTGTAAATATTGAAGGGGGAGAAACTATATTCCTTCCATGTTCTGCGATGTCAGGTGCTGCGGCTCACCATCAAACACAGCCTACAATGCAATTTGCTACTGCTAATGGACAGCAAGTACAACTAGCCAGTCAACAAGTGCAATTGGCTAATGGCCAAACTATTATAACACCGCAACCTGTCAGTCTTATAAGAGCGCCTGGAGTATTTCCTACCTCTATTATTCAAAACATTGCTGGGCAAACAGTTCAGTTGCCTACAGGTATGATTTTATATACTATATTTACCTATTCGTATCACAATATATCTGTGGTACATATGTACATATGTTTTACTATTTTATCGATTGAAAATAATAGTTTATTTTTTTATCTGGTAGGACAAAGTGTTCAAGTAAGACCATTACAATTTCCTATGCAACATGTTCAGCAAACTGTGCCTGTTCAAGTACCAGTCACTGCCAGTAATGGACAAACTGTCTATCAAACTGTGCATTTTCCTGTTCAAGCTTTATTAAGTGTCTTTAATATGCCAGCTACGCAAATGATACCACAAATTACACAAGTAAGTAGATACTCTATAAATATTGTAGTTTTAATTAGTAAAATAAGTGTAGAATACAGCAAAACAGTAACTATAGACTTTGATTAACATTCAAATTCAAAATAATAAACGTGTTGAACGATAACAATGTTAAGGATCTCTCCAGGTTTATAAAACCATATTCACAATCAGTTTACAAAAGTATAACGTTATTGTCAGTAGAATAATAATCAATTACAACGTTGATCAATTATAATCTTTGAACAGGCATACTTATAACTCTGATATCAATATTTTTAATATTATATATTGCTGTGAATGTTAATTTGTATAAATTGATTTACATTCATGCATACTCATAAATAATAACATATTTCAGCAAATTCCTCAAATGGCTCAAATTATTACACCAAATGGACAGATTCAACAAGTTCAGATTGCAAATTTACCACAACTGCAAAGTTTACAAGTAAGTGTAAAATCAGTAGATTTGTTGAAAGTAAGCTTTCCTAACAAAACAATATATTAATGAATTATTTGAAATATGTTTACAACAATAAACAAAAAATTTGTGATATTATAGAGTCAACAAGTAACACAAATGGCTCAACAAGTTGCTCAACAGCAAGCACAGCAGCAACAAGCAGTACAAGCGCAAGTTCAGCAGCAACAACAAGCTGCTGTACAAGCGCAAGTCCAACAGCAACAACAACAGCAGCAGCAGCAACAACAACAACAGCAACAAGTCGTACAAGTAATACAGCAACAGCAACAACAGCAGCAACAGCAACAACAACAGCAACAACAACAGCAGCAACAACAACAAGTTCAACAGGTACAACAATCATCAGCACCAGCTTCTACAGTAGCAACTTGGAGTACAACTGTTACAACTCCAAGCAATGTTCAGGTAATAATAATATTATGTATATCTTTTTTATGTAATGGTAGATATGGATTTACAATATGATGAATATTAGTAAATACAAATGATACACAAAATATTAAAAATTAAATTAAATGTATTTACAGGTACTTGGTATTGGTTCACTTGCAAGGCCTATGCCAGCAAACAGCAGTGTAATTACTACGAAGGATGGTCAGAAAATTGATGTGCAGACGTTAACTGCTTTAACAAGACCACCTGAAACAATTGAAGGTGATATAAAATTGACAAATATAGATGCAAGTCAATTGGCTAATCAAATTATACATATTCCAACTGCACAATCTGCGCAAACTACAGTTCAACCAAACACGATAACAGGTATATTAACAATTCTGTATCTGTTATTGTGTAATTTATATAATTAACACATTGTCGGCCGCCGTTGCGTATGCGTGACTTCTTTTCGCCAGCAGTTATCGGCCGGTGTTACGAAAACACTACTACTATTTTTATAAAACGTACAAAAAAGATTTCAAATCGCGAATTCAAAGTTCTTATATTAATTATATTAATACATATACTAATTATGTGTTCTTCTTGTAAAGTTTCACTGGATGTAAAACAAATGTTTTGAGATCAATCACACAAAATTAAATTATTAATTTAACAAATGTTTTAAAATTGATTAAATGTAGATAATATAAGATAGTTTCTCAAAGAAAGATAATCCTTAGAAATAGACAAGGAGCGAAGCATTTGTGCTCTAAGACCTTCTTTTATCAATAAATATACTGTAATTATTTATTATGCTCGAATGATTTTGTAAATGTCGCCGGCGGGAGGCAGTAAAACCTGACATGCACCGGCGACAACCTAAAGGCGATACGAAAAATGTGCAGCCGTCAAAGTGTTTATATATATATATATATATATATAAATTTATATAAAATTATATATTTTTTTAATGTTTCTCATAGGTGCGCAAGGTCAACAGCTTACTCTAATTCCTGCATCTGCTCTAGCAAATTTAACTGCTCAACAAGGGAATATGATGAGAAGTGTTGGTAGCGGGAGTATAATGCAACTGCAACCTGCTGCTGGAATGAATACTACAAATGGATTTCTTCAATCCATACCTCTACAGAATATTCCAGGTTTAGGAAATGTACAAGTAATACCTGCAAGTGCGTTACAGCCTGCTACTGTACAAACTTTACCTACTGCTGCTACAGCACCTATTGTCGCTGCTCCAGCTTTACAACTAGAGTCAAGTGATCCATCTAAATGGCAAATTCTACAAACATTGCAACCAAATGGAACGCTTACGACGTCAGCTCCTACATCACATCAACATCAAATAACAACTGCAACAAATGCAAACGTAGATACAGATACTAATAAACAACATCGAAGAAGAGTGGCTTGTACATGTCCTAATTGCGGTGATGGTGATAGGTACGGTGTATTATTGTTTTAATTTAATACTGATTTCATGTTCTTTTTATCGTGCACTATTAGAGTCGGTTTTTTTTTTTTGTTTTCTTTTACATAACATTGATGACCCTGGCAAAATGGTTTTATGTTTAGAAATAGGGACATGACTCGAAAACGTCAGCACATTTGTCACATTGCTGGTTGTAATAAAGTTTATGGGAAAACAAGTCATCTTCGGGCTCATTTAAGATGGCACACAGGGGAACGACCATTTGTTTGTACTTGGGTATTTTGTGGAAAAAAATTTACAAGGTCAGACGAATTACAACGGCATCGTAGGACACATACTGGAGAGAAACGATTCGAGTGTCCTGAGTGCACGAAAAAGTTCATGCGATCAGATCATCTGACAAAGCATATTAAAACGCATACAAAAATTCGTAGTACGGTAAGTAAATTTTGTAATGCGTAGATATCATTGGAAAGATGCATGAAATCATTCTAGTCTAACATTTTCAAGTAATTTGTTCATGATATCATCTTGTAAAAAATTTCTAAAAAAAAACATGAATTAATTTTTTGTTAATTAAATTTAATACCACTTTTAATCTGTGTTTTAGGAAGCTGCCACTTCTACCCAGGAAGGCTCCTCTGAAAGCCAATCTTCCGCGGAAGAAAAAATTATAATTGGTCTTCATAAAACAGAGCCAGAACAGGGAGCGATTATTTTATCGGAACCAATAGACGAAATAAAAACTGATACGATTAAGCATATTACAAACGAATAATATGTTAATGTCTTTTACATTTGAGTTTTCTTAATGGAGCTTAAACGAAAGTCAAATCAAATGAACTTTCTAGTATTTATATATGTATATATTTAATTTGTATATAATTATATGTATATATATATATATATATCTAATATTATTATCTATTATTATTAGATATATATATATACATACATATAATTAATAAATTAAATATATATATATACTTGTGTGTATATATATATACTTGTGTATATAAATTAGCTGTCTAAGTTATTGGGTTATCTGGTAAGTTGGTTATTACGAACTTTCTAGACAACTCAATATATTAACAATAATAGCCTGCACAGATTTTATTGAAGTTATTTTCTCTAAAAAGAAGAATTGTAACTGAAAAATTTTTACAGGAATTGTAGTAATTACTAAGTTATACAATCTATTTTTTTATTGGAAAAGTGTAAATATGTATATATTGTATATCTATGTAAAAAAAATTTTTGCACAAGAAAATTTTACACCTATAAACGTTTTTTTGATATACGATTATTAGAAATCAGTCTTTCACCTTAATAAAAAATATAGATTAAAAGAAATAAATGACATGTTAGTATACAATTTTTGATGACGAAATTTAAATACAATCTTGTAAAAAGAAATAAATGATAGAGTTAAAATAACTAGTATTGTTATATGGTATGTTAAATAGTTTCAAATATATAATAGAACTAATGGTTTTCACAGATTGTATTTCTTTCAATAGAAAACAAAAATATATGTATATATATATTAGCAGATCCCAGATATTTTTAAAGTTTTATCTCTGTAAGTAAATAATATTTTGTAATAATATTTTTTAACTACACTCGGGTGATTATATATATTTTGTGGTATTATTTTATTTATTTCAACATTTGTCGCCAGAGGACAGCTCATTCGTGTAAGCTCGAGAATAGCGCTCTTATGGTATAAATATACAAATACAATATGGCCGAAAGAGGAGGAAGTTTGCGAATCTTAACGAATGACACTTTATTAAACGTATAAAAAAATTTTTTAAATTTGAATGTTCGGTTGGCACCGAGTGTTTATTATCATTGACGAACGATGGATCTTGGAATATATTAAAAATTATTTCGTTCTTCTGCAGCCACATTGAACGATTATGTTACTGAATGATTGTTGGTGAGAGATGTTATGTTTATTTCTTTAATAGGAGAAGGCATTTGTAAGGTTTGTTCTTACAAAATGTAATCAAAGAATAGAATAAATACAATTCTATACCATCATACTATGTATTCTTTATTACTGTCAAATGGATAGGTGCTGTCATGGACACTGATGTTGAACTGTCTAAAGAAGGATGTGAATCTGGTCCAGGTTGTTCCGGTTATTCTAGCATGGTGCACAGTAAGAAAGTTATTAAACATGCATTGCGACAACAAGCCAAGAGACGTAGAAAAAATACCACCATAGCAGCAGGAAATTCTCGTACTTTGCCAAGAATTGTTGTCAAACCACTGCCACCACCTCCACCAAATGAACCGTCACCACCAGTTAACAATGTACAACACATCAATACAGGTATTTACAATCATTTATTTTTTTCTTACATTCCTAATTGTTTATAGATGTTTAAGTTTTTCTTTATCCGATAGTAGTTGAAGAACCCGCTGCAACAATGAGGGAAGTTTTGGCTAGTTTGCCAGGATTTAGTTTAAAATCAGGAAGAAGACGTTCGACAAAAAAATTGTCTGTGACTGCACAATTAGAAGCTGGTTTAGTAGATCTTGAATCACCAGCAAGCATTTTAGCAAGTACAAGTTTACGTGCTTTATTAAATAGGCATACGTTCCAAGGCCTTCCTCCTTTATATCAAAGAAAACTCGCACAGCTTTTACCTGCGGTTGACCGACAGGTTGGTATTTTTAAATTAAAAGATTATTCCTTAACTTATTGATATTTAGATAATTATTTAGAAATTTGTCCTTTGTACTGATTTCAATGACCTTGAAATATATCTTCAAGGTTATTATTCTGAAAAACTTGTTTTTATACATGTTTCAATCGATCAGCCTTAGTTTCTAAGATATTCATAAAAAAATTTGTTAAACTTATGTGGATCGGGTTTGATTTATGTAACCCAGATGCAATCTAGACGTAATCAAAAATTAATCCTTACGTTTGTTTACAATTACAAATGTTTATTTGAATGTTATGTAACATATATAAGAAAAAAATCATTGAAATCAGTTAAGAAATTTTTAAATAATTACTAATATTTATTTTGATAATACTTATATATATTTCTATTTTATTTTTTCTATTAAATATTAATTAATTGATCCGATGTGTTATATACATTTAGGATGCAGCAACTTCTGGATTAAATAATGAGTTTTTTGCTCGAGCCCTTTTAGAATGGCGTAAACGATTAGCAGAAGGAGAATTTACTCCAGAAAATCAACAGCGATTAAAGATGGAAGCAGAACGTGACAAAAATAAATTAGATCCTTGGAAAGTAAAACATTTTGAACCCATTTGGGGTGAGAAACGTGAACCTAAACTAAGGTCGGGCCTTCATTGCATTAACGAATCACGATCTAGTGGTGCAGTAACACGTTCAAGCCTAAGGCTACGTTTGGAAAATAATATTGACACAATAACATCAGAAAATACTCATTGTCCTATTGTATTGTCAGAAGATAAAATTGAGGAAGATAGTTGTAAAGTTGACATTAATACAAATAACACTGAAGATATAAATGATGCACAAGAAGAGCAAGCAAATCTTTTATCTACTGAATACAATGAATCTGTACACACTGACTCTGTAGAAATAGCTGTAGGCACACAATTATGTCAGGAAAGGATAGATGAAACTATTCGTGTTAACGATATTACAGAAGAAACATCAAAAACTAATGAGATAGAAAATCAGATCTGTGAAGAAAAGAGTGTAGATACATATATGGAAGAAGAGTTACAGGAAAACCATAAAGAAGTAGAAGATGATGTTAAAGATCACCTCCTTGAAGTTTCAGAAGAAAATAGAGGACCTTTATTAGAAGATAATTCATTGTCAAAATCTAATGAGCAACCAGAACAAATGTCCTTAGAAGAACCAAGCTCGCAATTGTCCAAGGAATGTACACCTGAAACTTCAGTAGACCAAATATCTCAAATATCAAAAGAACAAATTACTCAAATTTCTGATAATCAAATTTATCAAATAACAGATTGTGAAACTAGTACTACACTTGGAAATTCACCAACACATTCTCAAGTTAGAACAAGTGATATCGTAATGGATGAATCCAATTTGATAGTTAATAACACACAGGCAGAGTCAGGGCCAGTTTCGCATGAAAATTCAGCAGATGGTGAGTCGCAAATTCCTGAAGGAATGGAAATTGATAGTGAAACTTTACAACGTATACATGAGCTAGAGGTAAGAAGTAAGTGTGAAATATTGCTTAACTGTTATTTTTTTCGATTACGATAATTTGTGTATAATATTTAGGTACGAGGAGAAATGCGAGAAGCTTATGAAGAAATTTCAGGATGTCCAGAAGAAATTATGTATCCAATTCTAGAAAGTATGGAAATGGAATCAAACACTACTGAAGAAACAGAAACTCAAGTAGTATCTGCACAAGTAGAAGATGTCAGAGGGCCGCCAGATGTAACTGGCGGAAATGAAGATGAAGCTTTAAGAGAAGCAAATAATTATGTTTGTTCTGAAATGTTAGAGTGTAGTTGGACAGTAGATCCTGCTGTTAATACCATCAATAATAATAACAGGGTATGTAAATACAAAATGTATGATATAGAAGTATTCTTTTTCCATATGATTTTTCATCCTTTTTTTTTATTATTAAACAGACGCAACAAGAAGAACTTCAAGTCCCCTGGCCTTTGGTAGCTGCTGCTTTAGATGGTTCAGTTGCTGCTAATATTACAGTGACTACACAAGATGAATGTGGCGAAGTACCTGCTACAACCGAATCAACTAATAATTCTGCACAACAATTTATAAATTCAGACGCCACTGTTGAATCTGTTAACTGCATTCAACTTCCTGTCGTTCAAGGAACTCCTTTTCAATCTGAAAATTTGGCAATTGGAAATCCAGGAACAAGTTGCATAATGAAGAACCTTCAATCACAGAATCCACCAATTATTGCCTTTCCACAATTGCAGTCTATTAGATTTGTACAAACCAGTTTTCATTCAGAACAAAATACAACACCAGTAGTGAATAATGCTACTGCAATTTCGACTCAGTTACAAAATCAGCCAAACTCAACTCCACAGGTTAACATTATGAGAGCACAAGAAGAAATTGTACAACTGAACACACAGAATAATATTCTGCATAATAATATTCGTGATAATGTAACGCAAAATCAAATTCAAAATACAGTGCCAGTCGGAATCGGAGTGCAAACACAGAATAACCCCCGAAGTACTATTATGGTTCAACATCAAGCAACAACACCTACACAATCGCGTCAGATTGTCGCCACACTACATCAACAACAACAACAGCCGCAGCAATATCATAATACATCTATGTCCGTTTCTTCAAGAACATCTCGTTCTAATAATCAAGGAAGTCAAAGAGGTTCAAGGAATAGTAATAAAGAACAGGGAGGAGGAAGATCCAGAGGTACAACTAAAGAACCACCTGGAGCTGTTAATTTGGAACGCAGCTATCAAATTTGTCAAGCGGTAAAGCTAATGCCCTGATCTTTGTTTAAATGTATTATACGTGCATAATAAATAATACCTCTATCATTTATAATATCATTTTAGGTAATACAAAGTTCACCAAATAGAGATCAACTTAAAGCCCATCTCAAACCACCACCTAGTTTGTTGGCAAGAGGTGATGGAGCATTTACAACTAGTAAGTCCGGCGGACGGACAATAACAACACTTAAAACTTCAAAAACACAACAATCTATCCAACATAATAAGCAAGGACAAAATAAACCTCAAGCAGTCATGCTTAGGCATGTTTTTGCTACAGCACGTCAAGCAACATCCACAGAGGTATGTTCTAATATTTTATTTTATTTTATTTTAATAAGTTTAACGTTTATATATGTATTTTTTTGGGAGTTTTATATAATATTATTTTATATATACAAACATTTGATAATGGCTTACTTTTTGACCAAAAATAAATGTGGTACACCAATGTGTACATTTGGTAAAAAAAGGGTTCGTTATCTTAAGAACTCATAGTGTTCACCAAGATGAATAAAAAATGTTTAATTAACATGGGTCTTAAAATTAATCTTTTCTATATAAAGATTTATACTATAAATCTTTAAAAGATCGGATCCTTTCTTTTTACCACCTTGTATGTATTTATATGTATGTCGATATTTCTTTGATTAATTATGCTGCTTTTTCTTTTCATTTTTGATATTGTATATTTCTGTACTTGATGCATTTGCATAGATTAGAAACTCAAGCCTGGTCAGTATACTATTTTATATTTTTCTCTGTGTACAGTGCTAATCTTGCGTGTGGCTTGATACGATCTCTGTATCATACAGGTACTTAACAGACAAATCTTTATCCTAGTTCTGAGTTTCTAATAGATAGTTGAAAAAGTATAGTGATATACACATCGAAAAGGTAGCAAATTCGAAAAAAAAAATAAAAAATATTATAAATCTATAAATTTCATATTGTTGTATTGTAAAAAATAATAACAAAACTTTTGCGTGTAAATAATTCAATGATGTATAGAATAAAGTAATATTATTAACGTTATCCCATAGCTAATTGCATAATCGGAAAATTATTAGGTTACAGAAAGCAATACAGTAGCGCAGTTAGGATCTACAGCTACCAGTGCACTTGGACAATACATTCTTGTGCAAAGGACAGGCGTCGGAGATGGTGCGCCAAGAGCATCATCTGCACCACCATTACCACCTCAAATTGCAGGAATGGGTGTTGGAGTACATTTAGTTAGAGGTAGACCAGCGAGTGCAGGAGAAGGCTCACATCAAGCAGTTACGTTAAAGGCACGAGGTACTGATGGCAGAGGAGCAGGTGGAGCTGAACCTGGAGCACCTGGTATGATTATGGGTGGAGATCCACCACCACCTTGCGATTGCAATATGCGGGGTGCTATGGTAATCTGTCGACAATGTGGTGCCTTTTGTCACGACGATTGTATTGGACCACAGCGTATCTGCGCTACTTGTCTTAATTAACGTATATATCTATTAATTGTTTATATATAATGGTAATTAACACTGGGAGAGAGTGTTGAATATCCAAGAAAAATGTCGAACAGTATTTGCAGCCATGTATGTGAACGTTATATTATGATTTATTCGTTTGTGACATAGTCACCTCCTTGGACAGTTTTTCAAAAGTATTATATGTGGTTCTAGAAGATAGACAAAAAGAAACTAATGCTACAAAAGAAACGGATAGTTTATCACCAGCACTTTAATATTAATACTATTCTACGTGACAAGGGTATCAAGGATATAGTTTAAAAGAAATTACATTTTTTTAAATTATTATTTATAATATTCATATTGAATTGAACATTCACTTTTTTTTGTTATTTAACAATTTTATGTATGTTTACATAATATATATATATATATATATTATGACTAGTATATTTTACATTATGAGATAATTCACTACCTTATGATAATTTGTATAATATGTTTTGTACAGACAAATTTTTTTATATTCTTATACACGCGCTTTTTTATCTTTTCCCTATCTCTCTTTTCTTTTTCTTTTTTTTTATATAAATCTTGATATATATAATAAATCTCTTAAAGTGGAAGGATAATGTGTCTATTATATTATGGTTTATAATATAAAATATTTTATATTTTAATCGCTGGAATTTGGTTTTCTGTGATGAACTAAATTGATTTTATTACATTTCACGTTTATCTTATTGGGTACGATATCATTTAATTGTATAAAATCTCATTACATATCATATTATATTTAAATGTTATTACAATATAATTATCTCTCATAACAATATTAAGTATCTTAATCCAATAATACCATAAACGTGATTATATTCCGGAAGTTGTTAGTATTTATAAATATGAATTTCAACTGTATCCTTGCAACTCAGATTTGCAGTAAGAAGTAAATCTCTTACAGTCCGACTCTAATACCGTCTTCCACTCAATATTACATCCTGTAATATGCATCGCGCGCTATTTATTTATTAATGCAAATTTAAATTCATTCTTATTGTGTAGGAAATATCCCTGTACATGATGGTCATAAGACTATATTAATGATCTCTTATAATGACTTTCTTAAGTCCTCCAAGGAGACTGTTAAAGTATGACATTTTAGAAACGGAGTTTAAAATATCATTTGCATAATATTAATTATGGTATTATTTAAATATGTGCAAGATAGGCCATGGTGTACAGGAATGCTATTTACTATATAGTATATAGAGCTACAATCAATTAAACAGTGAAGAATCAATTTAGCTGTTATATCTTATTTTCTTAATAGATAATCTCTATAAAATATCTCTCTATAAGTTCATTATCCATTTTTCATTAGTACCGTGTGACTTTTAAAAGAAATCAATTTCGTCAATCAATTAACATTACATTTTGTATATAGTCAGCATTATGATTACTCATTTTTATATATATATATATATATGCACCTATATGCATATATATGTATATACATATATATATATATATACATATACATATGTATATTATATGCACATTANTATATATATATATTTGTTCATATTCATTTGTAACTTTATTAATGAAGCCATGACTTTAATCGTGTAAGATTGTCATTGCAAAATATAGGAAGGACTCTTGGCTTCGCGTGTAATATTAATTTTCTTTTTTCTCCTTTTTTCCATGTTATATTTTCTCTTCATCAATATTAGTAATTATATAATTACATTTCAGTAGAATAATCGATGTATTTGTCGCTCAAATGTAAATAAAATCATATTCGTTTATTGTGTGTGATTTAGTTTAATACGCAGATTGTACATGGCTTAATTATATGTACAATTCTTCTTGAAATGAATTTGCACATAGAGCGTTTTACAGAAGAGTTAAGGTATGCAAGGTAAAGTAGCCCTATAAAAATAATTATTTACTTCAATTATTCAAATATTTATGATTTTTATCCATTTTTGATGAAGTATATTTGAATTGTGAAAGTATATCGGAAAGTATACTTGATATTCTTCTGCAAATGCCTGCTAAAAATTAAAGTCTGTAATAGCTATTATATAAGTAAATTTAAAAAAAAATCAAGATATATATATTGAAATGCATTGTTGCAATAATGTATAGAGGGAAAAAAAACTATATAAATATACATGTATCTATCTAACTGTGTTGACCAAGATTAAAGTACTTAAAATATAAAGGAATTTAAGATTGTCAAGATGTACAATATAGATCTGTGGTCAGTAAATATCTTCAATTTAAAGCAGCAGAACTGATTATCATAATCGTAATAGATGCATAGAGACTGAAATACAAAATTAGGGCTACTCAAATTATCTGTTTTGTTTTTAAAATACACAAATTTCATATAAGAGTAGACGTTGACCATGACTTTCTTTAAGTCTATTAAAATATCTGTTATAGTTTCTTATCACATACATATATACAATATGAATATGTGTGTGCGTTTAGCAAAATAAATTATAATTATCTTAATTTTTATTTTAATATAAAACGAATTGTTTATTCTTTCAGCACATGTATCTACATTTAATAGTTTTTTTCCATGTATGTGATTTGGGTTTTACTTAATAAGTGTGGTAGACTCATACATGTATGTGGTTGCCTACTGCAGATTTATTTGTGCGAAAATTGCACATTAAACAATTTACAGAAAATTATATATTGATTAATCACCTTCTCCATAAAAATAAATAAATCCATTTTTTAATAAACAATATTCATTATATATAGTTGTGTACTGTTTGATTATTATACATTAATAAATTTATTTTTTTTCTCAAATATTATTTCTACAATTAGGTTTTAAAATATATTACAATTTTAACGCAATTTAAATTCAACTGTAATAATCTTTGTACATTAGACTATTCCATATCACAACTTGCAGCAATTATCAGATCATGTTTGTACTTCCTATTTTTGTGACAATTTTAATTGCGTTCAGATAAACGTTCACTTTATTATATTTGAACATTTCATAGCAACTTCAATGCAGACCACATGAATGTAATTTTACATTTAGTAATCTTTCATCCGCTTTCTCTCTCCCTCTCTCTGACTGTTTCTCTCTCTCTCTCTTCCTTTTGCAATTTATTTTAAATTATTTATACATAAAATAAAAAAAATAAGTTACTTTTTAAATGTTTCTTATATTAATATATGCAACAGATTACAAATAAATCTTACTAAAAACAATATTATCATTGAATAAATAATAATACTGTGAAAAATAAATTGACATATAAACAGTTATAATTAATTAATAGTAGGTAAAATATATAAATATATGCAATAATGGTGAAAAATATTTAACTTCATAGTGTACATTCTAATTTAATTAATTTACAAGAACAAATTAGTGTACAAAAAAGTATAAATAAAATTTAATCTCATTTAAATATTATATAAGCACATATAAAAAAATATAACTTAAATTAATTAACTATTGTGCACAAGACTGCAAAAATCAAGAATCTTAATAATTTGTAGGCTTACTAGTTCGGCCGCATTTTTCAACCGATAAAATAAATTAGTATTTTATATATATTACATATAATTATACATTTTAATGTGAGCAAAGTATTATTATTGTAGAGTAATATGATATGATAAAGTTTTACTTCTCATATGAAACTAATTCAAACTTCGTACAGATTCAATATTACTTTCCATTATACATTTAAATGAAATATAACTTTGATTCATTATATTGGGTTGAAGCATATATCTGTCCTGCTTCTTTGTTTTTTTACAAATAGGGTTAGCAGGACGAATATATATTACTATCCAATAATTAAATCATACTTCAATCTTTACGATATATAAAAAGCAATAAATAATATATATTTATTATTTTTTATATGCCGTAAAAAAATATTTAGGCTGAATCGATATAATTAATATTATATTCATATTATTAAATAAAGTAGATATTGTATGATAAATAAAATATAAATTCTGTACTAGTAACATAAACTTAAATTTAATAATCTTTCAGGTACTGGAATAAAAAAAATAAATTATTACACAAGTACAAAATAGGACAATAGCTTTGTAAGCAAACATAAAGTGACACTCTACAATATATATCTTTTAAATTGCATGCATTAACAATTTATGCTCAAGCATTAATATATATTTATATACTATACCAAATATTACTATTATTCTGATTTATTAGATTAATTTGTTGAACTGTAATAGTATTGATGAATTGATAACTCTTTTATAATATAATATTTTCTTTTCTATACAATATATGATTTTTAGTTTCCTAATAATATAGATTTTTAGTATTATTTATGCAGCAGGGCAGAAAAATTATTGGATTCTTATTTAAATAACATAATCAATATATTAGAATGAAATTTCATTTGATCGGGCAAGCAATAGAAAATGCTTTGTATGCATTAGTAATTCTTGTATATAAGGACTAAAAATGTATGAAAATATTGCTAATTCAAATATAATAAATTGTCATTTTCAATGTTCCTAATGAAGGTATGTGCAATATATTATATGAATAGTTGTTTCTTGTAAAATTTAATATAATTACGCTTAGCGCAAGCTGAAACAAATGTAAGAAAATAATGTTACTCATATAATTTAAACTCATTTAACAATACATTTTAAGATTTATATACATCCCCTGCTTTATTCTTTGTTTATGCCAAAGATATAATCACAGATTTGAAACTGTGCTTAGTTACCTCTTGGAATGTATCTGTGGAAGATCAACAGTGATATTGTACAAGAAAAAAGAATCTATAATCTACAGGTCATCTCTTACAATATCTTATATTGATTTTTTGTCTTTAGGATTATCTATCTTCCATTATTAGAAGAACTGCAGGGTTGTCTTTTTTTTTTCTTTTTTTTTAACTGAGCTTTGGAATATTTTTTTAGATTTTAGCTCAGTAAAAATATTTTAAACATATGCAGGCGAAAGACTTAAAGTAAGACGAGAAATAACATTGTTGCGTATCGTAGCCCGAGTTGTCCTAGAACTTTTAATAATTTGTATCACCATGATGCGGCAGTCATGGCAGACAACCATAGCAACACCTCTTAATCGTTCTGCCGCCAAACGTTGTTCAGAACTTGGACTAGCAAATGTTGAAAATGCTTTCGTAGATGTGGTAGTTGCTGGACTACCACTTCCTTTATAATTTCTATAAATACATTATTATATTGAGAATACTTATAAATCGAGCGAAAGTATATATATATACATGCATGCATATATATATATCGTGTGAGCTATACCTTTTTTCTGCTGTACAAGCATCAATGTCTCGCCGAGAATTAGATGAAGGAATCGAAGTTGGTGTTATGGCCGAAAGAGGTGTAGTGGCAGGAGTCGAAGAGGGTGTTATACTTCGTAATGCAGAATCTTTACGCCTAGAAGCTGGTGAAGCTGGGGCTGAACCAACTGCTCCTGTACCTCTTAACCAAGAATTTTTTCCACTTGTATCTGGTTCTGAAGATGACGGCGATAACAATAAACCAGGAGATAATAATACCACTGGTACATGAGCAAAATGTTCGGTTGGAATCCGCATCTATAATTATTATTATTAATTACAATTAAAATAAAGAGATTTTTTTTAAACAAAAGAATATTGTTGAGATATATATTACGAACTTTGGAATAACATTTAACACAAACTGTTCTTTCGCAAAGACGACAACGTTGACCCCATGGCCCTAATAAACCAAATCTTGTTTTCAGACACAAGAAACAAACGCGTCTTTTTTCGACATCTTCTTTTACTTGACCCTCAACAGGCAGCGATTCCAATTCGGCTTTAGTCAATACGCTTCGAATATGTACGATTTCTTCTAACGTTAATGAAAGTCTTTCATCAAAGAACATATCACCCAAGGTTGGTTTCTAAACAATATTGTAATTAACATTCAAACAATATCATTTTTCTATTTCTACGAAATTTGTTTTCATAATTTTCATGAATTTTGTACCTGTGTATTATCTTCTTGCCAATCAACGTTTCGATCTTCAGTACTATCTTTTCCTTCAACAACCGTATTCGATCTTCGAGGTTGTCTAGCTCTAGGCTGAGGACTAAGACTTGGACTTGGATTAAGACTAATATTTGGACTAGTCCCTTGACTCAAAGTAGATCCTGTTATATTTGCATGTTGTCGACTTTGAGGTCTTGAATGCGGAAGAGATGTTGTCCCAGTAAAAGATGTAAGACCTATATTACGCCTGGCTGCATGTTTTCTTGCAGAAGCCCTTCTAGAAGGACACTGAGTTGCAAGATCGTATGCTGTGAATTAAAAGATAATATCACATGATTATTTATAATATTTTAATGTGTTTGTGTGCTTCTGCATATGTGATGCGCGTACTTATCGATTTTTATATAATACATATATATAAATATTTTTTTAAAAATTATTTATTTTAACGCGTTTAGAACCAAAACATTTAACTTTAATGAATAATATAACAAAGGTCAATTAAATAGTCTTTCATGCATTAAAGGTTAAAGTGTAAAATTATACATGCGGTTAATTGTTATATAAAAAGATTTACTCTTGAAAATAAATTATATACGGATATCATTACATTCCAGTTGAGTATCGCAGAAACGGTGATACTCGTTTCTCGTAAGCCGAAGACCACCAGTTTTTTTCCAAGGATTCGCTGAATCCACATCTTCGTCGTCTCTCTCATGATCATGATCTTTATTATCATTTGGAATATCACGATTTTCAAATGAATAATCATAGGCCTCGTCTTCTTCCTCGAATCTTGTTACATTTAATTCATCGTTATAATCTTCATCGTCTTCGTCTTCCGCATCGAGCTGTATACAATGTCCAAATGTTTTATATTTTAATTGAAAATTGTTTCAAATTAATTCGACATAAAGAAAAAAAAGGAAGAAAATTCTAAATACAGCCCACCTTCAAATCAAAATCAACGGGGATTATTTTTCTAGTCCGTCTGGTATTCAAACTATCGGAATCTCTACGAGCAGGTTTCGGTACGGTCGGCGACCCATTTTCTTTCATGTTATTAATGTCGGATGTCTGTTCTGTAAATTTAATTTTTCAATCTTAAGTTATTCTTTAATGCAATTAGAAGCAAGAAGCGTCAGAAGTATAGATGTATGCTTGTCAGAGCTTAATGAAATATGACTGATGCGACACGTTATATGTTATCGTCGTAAATTTTATTATTCATTTATATATATATCCAAATTTAATTAGATTGTCTCTACGAACAAAAAAATCTATTTATTTTATACATAAATAATAATAAATACGTAATTTTACAAATTGAAAAGTATATATGTACGAAAAAGACGAATGGCGTTGAGGGATAAATAAAGATGGTTTAACATGGATATATTTATATATAATACATCGAAATACTTTTAATTTTTAGCTAGAAAATTAAATGAAATAAATTTAGCAAGAAAATTACCGATCAAACGCCTGGACAAAAAAAAAAAGAAAATACTAACTATACACAACGCCTGCGAATAAAAATCTCTTTTAGAGAAAATCAGATAATAAACAGCAGTAGCAGCAGCAGTAGTAGCAGCAGCAGCAGCAGCAGCAATTCTTCGTATATATAAACGTTGAAACGAAGAATAATATTTGATATGTTGAAGTGGTACTTCGTCAGATTCTATTTAATGCGATGAGATGTGATGATTACCTGTCGTCGTAATGCGTCTTCTACACGACTTACGATTCCTATTTCCTGGCACGCGAATCTCAAATTTTCCGATCCTTTGACGTGGTTGTGGTACTGGAACAAGACTAGTTTTCGTCGTGGTCTGATCATCGGACTGCAACCATTGAGCCGCAACATCCTGAGCAGGTTCTTGTTCCTGTTCTGGTTGAATCGGTGGCACTTCACCTAGCACTATTCTACGCGATTCTCCACCTACAGCGAGTAACATCACTCTTTCTCTAGTTCTTTCTCTTTTTGATATATCCCTTATTATCATTTAGAATTTAGGATAATTTCAAATTTCCTTTGATTATTACGCGACTTTAAAAAAAAAGCAAAATCATTGATATTTAAATTCAACCCTATGGAACGCGAAATCGTTCGAAATCCAATAAGACAAATCTTCTTGACACAAATTAAAATATAAATAATTTTTTCTCAAGACGAGCACGTACAATTATATCGCCATTATCATTTCGTTCACGCTTCATATTTATCTTCCAAAAATAATCGCGAGAACCTTCCGTAAAGTACACAGTCCGAACGATCAAATGTTTGTTCTGTTCCGCACGTAGTATTATTTATTCGTATCGACTTTGCAAATAATTACAAAAAAAAAAAGAAAAGAAAAGAACGGTAATTGGAACGTTCCCTCTTCGACACAGCAGGGACAAAATGTTAAAGGCACGTGTTCTCGTTGTTATACGGATATATCTTCGACGACGTGCTTGACCTATTCCGAACCGAGTCGAGAGTTCGGATAGACTTTTTCACGACCGAACGAATTCTCCCCTTTTTCTAAGCGTACAAGTGGAAAACAGAAAACTATGAGGGAGGAACTGAAGAATGAAGAGTTAACTATTTCTGGTCGATTAGAAAGCGAGTGAAAATAGAGGGTGATTATGGAACGTCTGTTAGGTAAGCGTCGATCGTGATCTCGCGTTACTACTATGCTCCGATCGCGACTCGGTGAATGTCTCAGCCGCCACAGTCGCCACCTCGTCATCTCTTTCTCTTTCTCTCCACTGGTGGTGCACACTTTCGGTTATTGATCGTCGACGGAGTCTCTCCCTTTTTACAGTTAGTCAGCTAGCTAGCTAGCCAGCTAGCCAGTCAGCCAGCCAGCTAACAGCGCCCCAAATCATGATTCATTCAGAGTAATTCTGATCTAAGCAGCCCCACAGGTGAGCAAAAATACGATGCAGTTACTTTACCACATCTACAACATTTTAAATAGCACCCATGGGCTGCTCCATATATACCCTATTACATATAGTATCTATGTAGGTATCTATAGAATCATCGAAATTGAATATAAACCGTCTAGAAACATGCCACGTTTGATCTGGCATACTTTCCTTTTGATTACGTTAGATTTTAAAGCAACCGCCTAATCATTTCCATAATCGTGCAAGCGTGTACACATTCACGCTAGAATTGCGCGCGTCGTTCGCTGCGCATGAGCCACGGTTTTTTACTTCTTTCCGCTTGTATTTATATATATATATATATACATGAATCATATATATATATATATACAGCATACATACTCGTGTAAGGTACCCGTCACACGTGCATACTGTACGATCTGCCAGTGAATTCAACATCAATGCGCATACGTGACCTCATAAAAGAGGTGCATGTGTCTGCTGCAGTACACTCGATACTTTAATCTTCCTCTAATTTTTGTATTACAATCGTTTATACAATGATAATTAACACTTAACGTATTTTTATTATAAGATATATGAGATAGGATAAAGCTGAGTATGTTTTCGATGACGTTTATTATTTACGTGCATAGGTGTAGTGATGTCAATTGTAAACGTATCGCAACGTTCAAAATCTTTCAATATTAAAAGCGAAATATATCGAATAAATAATAAAATATTTACACTCACCATTCGATCGTGCTCTTTCTTCAATCGTAGGAGCTTGCCGTCTCTCACGTGATGATCGTAAAGGCTTCGGGGGTTTCTTTATACTCTCCATCAGCAATTCTCGTAGAGTGCATTCTTTCCGTAAAGGAGGTAGTTGTCTCTCTGATGCCTGTTAATATTTTAAATATCGAATATTAAAATTGATATATATTCGAGAGAGAGAGATTATTCAAATATATATTTCCTAACAATGCTTGCAATGATTTTGCAATGTTGTTTCTTAATCAATCAAAATTTCCTTTTACCTTTTTCAAAGGCGGTCGACTTCGAATAAATTCAAGAATAATAGCGTGAACGTCCTTCTTTGAATGAGGTGTCGGCGATGGTGTCTTTTTCAGACGATACCTTCGCTCCCGAATATCATCCATTAAAATTTCATAAGGGGTTAATTCAAATTCTGCACCTCGTCTCTGCCCTTGTCCTCGAGATTGTAAATTGGCTTCTACTTTTTTCAATTTAACACCTTTCCTTAACTCGCTTATAACTTGTACCCAAAATCTTGCCTGTGAATATATTATATACCACAATTCAACGATACTTTACATATATGTGTATATATAAAAATTTACACAAATATGTTGCATCAATACCGCGCAACGAAACGAGTGAATTCCTGTAAATGCCATTTTATGTTTAAATATAACACGTGTTACCTTTGAAAATGTATACTCAATCATTTTTATATTACAGTTTCAAAAGCTATTTATGTAATCTGTTTTAAATAATTTATCAAATGTGTGTTTATATGCATTATGTATATATATATGTATATATATATATATATCTAATCATGCGACATGCATAAAATTTTTTTATTATGATTATGCTAGCATCATCAGTTTATACTATGCACACAATTATCATTAATGACGTACTTGTATAGCTCTCCAAATCCTAATGTCAGTCTATAATAGCAGACACACAAATGAATAGATGTTAAAAATCTTATCACTGAAAACAAAAAACACTGGCATACATCGATGCAACTTATTGTCTTTTTCTTTTATATATTTACTTTATGCCAGTTGGATAAATAGCGTAGGATAAGTTAGATTTGACAGATAATTATAAAGAATTTATCTCGTGCTTTTTTTATAAAACTTACCCAGTCATTGAAACCAAATCTATCTAACTCGTGCAACGATGTCGACCCATGTTTTGCATTATCTGTAGTAGGCGATGGTTTTTCTCTATCGTGAAGCTTGTTTGTTGCAACTTTTCTTAAAAATTGAGATAATTCCAATGCCTCTGCTACATAAGCTCTTATTACAGCACGATAATGCATTTCTGCTACTTCGGTTGTAGTCTCCATGTGTATAGTACATAACTATAAGTTAATCATTTAAATTTATTTTACACAAGTACAAAAAAAATGGTTTATTTATAAATATATTATTATGTTCTAGGACGTTTTCTTTTTATTTCCTAATAGTCATCCGACAAAAGGACCAAATCTTAATCTCACTACTTTCGGTCTCTGACCGACTCGGGTACGTAACGATATCTATTTTATATGTAAGGAAATATATTAAACTTACATTCAAAACATGCTTCAAGGAGAATGTAGATGAATTTCCTTCATAAGAGGAATTAGTTTCTTCCATAGCGAATTCGTCTATATCCATTTCTCCTGAATCTCTCTCGATACCTTCATCATCTGTTTCTTGCAAACGTTCTGTATTTGTCTCACAATCAGTTCTAGAATCTATTAACAATAATTCATTCATAAATAAGAACTTATGTAATGATATGAATTGTATAAGAAATACTTTGTTGCAATTAATATTATAAATTATTATTTGAAACATGATTATGTGTGTGTGTATGTGATATATGTATATAGACTTATGGACTGTAATCCAACCTTGCTCTGAATTTGTCATTAGTGTAATAAGCTTTTCCAAAGCAGGGGGCAAAGTTCTCTCTTCTTCTTTCTTAGAGCCAAAATCAAGAGCTTTAAAAATTATAGTCCCCAAATAATAAACCGCCTATATAATTAGAAAATAATATTATTTATTATATTATAGAGAAAAGTAATATAAAATTATAATACTTAAAATTGATAAGTTTTCTATAACTTACTTTTCGTTCAGAGACAATTGAACATTTTGTATCTGTTGGAGAAATAATGAAATAAATTTGTAAAACAACCTTTAACAGTTAAAAAGATAAAAGAATAAGAAAATATGGTACATACCTATAACAACATCACCATCCTTGTGAAGAAATATTTGTGATAGTTTAGACAGCTTATAACATTTATTTTGTGGAAGAGAAGACAAGGTTTTAGCAGCCTGATAACATAATGCCCATGCTTGTTCTTCTCCGACAGGACCATTAAAGGATGACAATATATTGTCAAGATTTAATCGGCCTTTTTCATCAAGTTTGCATAAAGATGTACTTGATTTTTTAGACATTTCTATTTCTGATTTTACTTCTTCATCTGAAGCCTCGCTACTTTCCTCTCCTGATATTGAATTTGTCTTTGCGGTAGTCATTTTTGATTTCTAAAATCATATATACATAAGAAATAATTATTTAAAAATTTAATAAAAATAAAATTTCATTCTACTAAAAACAAATTTTTTATGAAGCAAATAAATATGTATTTTCATATTTTTTGTAGTTAATATAAAATATATTAAGAAGGAAAATAATAATCTCCATTTTAACTTTAAATTTAAATTAATCATATCAGATAATGAATTTTCTGTCATGTCCAATTTGTATGCTTACATTGTAACAATTAAATGTAATAATCGAACATCATTGATTGAAATAATTTGTTTATACAGTAGTAATATAATGGTTTTAACCGTACACTGCAATACATGACCTTTACATTTGTACGTTTAAAATTTTGATATTGCATGAAACAATTATCTACGTACAGCGACTATAATATTGTTCGTGTTTCATATGTAAACACAGCCATTAAAGAAAAATTGAATTACTAATAAAATAATTGTACTATTTATTAGTCGTCAGGGAATTAAATATATTCTTTAAAATGATGAGATACTTCTTATTACGCTTTTTTTTAAACAGTATTCCACTATCAACTACTATGACACGAACTGACTACAGAGATATCAAAGCATTAAGCAAAATTGACAAAGATAGATGATACGAAAGCTAAAAAGTAATAAATGCTTCACTACTGCTCTCTGACGGGCTAATTACGTATTAGTGTCACGTGAGATTGTTATAAAAATTAGTAACCAATGAATAAGATAATACCGTATCGTTTCTATTTATGAGCTCAGCGCTCTCTATAGTTTTTCATAGTTTTTATTATTTTCTGAACAATAACTTAACCTTTTTATATTCTTGTCTTCGTTATTTTCTTATATATACGTATGTATAATATATTTACATGTTTTTAAATAACGTAATGTTATTGTCTTTTTGTAGAGAAAATATAAATTATTTCTCTCATAATAATTTTTATAATAAATAATTTATTAAAGGCACAATGGATGAGATTCCGAGTATTGTTGTCCGTTTAGCAGTAGATAGAGCAGATATGAGTACAGTTACAAGTGAAAATGTACAACCACGATTTTACACTCCTGGAGAAGAAATATCAAATCAACCTAATTTTTTAAGGTAACAAAATATGATAAAATAATGAACCATGTTCATCAGCATACAAATGTATTAAAAAAATTTAATATAATTATATTAGGGGTCATGGTACTTATGTTGATGATGAAAATACACTGAGAGCTTCAGTTGCTGGTGTTTTAGAAAAAGTCAATAAATTAATATCAATACGACCATTCAAAGCGCGTTATCAGGGTGAGATTGGTGATGTTGTTGTTGGACGTATAACTGAAGTACAACAAAAGCGTTGGAAGGTTGATACAAATTCAAAACTTGATTCTGTTCTATTACTATCCAGCGTAAATTTACCTGGAGGTGAATTGGTAAGAAATGTATTATTTGAATAAACATTATTTGTATATATATTACTAGTGTACGCTAAATTTTATCATTTTTACAGAGAAGACGATCTACTGAAGATGAGCAAACAATGAGACGTTATTTACAAGAAGGAGATCTTATTTGTGCAGAAGTACAAAGTATTTTCGTAGATGGTTCTCTATCATTACATACAAGAGTTTTAAAGTATGGTAAATTGTCTCAAGGGATAATGTTAAAAGTACCACCTGCTCTTATAAAGAGGAAAAAAACACATTTTCACAATTTGGAGAATGGAGCTAGTTTAATATTGGGAAATAATGGCTATGTATGGATTGGTGCTAATACACAAGACAGTGATAAATCAGAAGGTGGTTTTACGCAAGACTTATCCAGAGTACCTCATGAAAATCGTGAAGTATGTGCTCGCCTTCGGAACTGTGTTTTAATTTTGTCACAGTGTAACATGAAATTAACTGACACATCTATAACGTATGCTTATGAAGAATCTATGAAATATAAGGTGAGCGAATTATTGCTACCTGAACCAATAGTCGATATATCATTATTAACACATCGAAGACTTATACAAATTTAATAAAAACGTATTAAAGAATAATTCTTTGTTATATATTCAATCTAGTAAAAAAGACATGTAAATTATATTTAAATAAAATGTTACATTTTTTACTGTATTAATTTATCTTAATTGTTGATCCATATGAAAATTTATAAGGAATAATTTATGTTATCGTGAATAAGATATATGGTAAAAAGTAGATATGATATAAAGGTTGTTCTGTTGATTGTAACTACTTTACAAAATGAAGACAGCAGTAATCAATAATCTCTTTCCTATATTACTAGTAAAAGAATGCATATATACAATACTGCAGTATTTCATTAATAACTATATTTTAGTTAAATAGTCCTTTATAAGGTGTTTGCATAGAAATAGCTAAAGTATTGATTAAACAAATAACTTGGAAACGACCAGCCAAAGTGGACAAACATGGATGCATGCTTTACTGCCTTTGATAAGGATGAAGATGGATTTCTATCTCTGCCAGAATTTAAACTTATATGCTGTGCACTATTTCGCAATAATCTTGGAAATATTTATACGCTTGAAGAAGAACAATTACAAGAAATATATTCTATCTTTGATCTAAATCATGATGGAATGATAGATAAAGAAGAATTTGAAGTGTGTATAAATATGTTTATATATATCTAAACGCATAAGTAAGTAAGAAGTATTTTAATAATTTATTATTATATATTCAGATCTGCTGGAATCTTTGGATTAAAGTGTGCACACGTCCGAAAAATGCTTTCCTCATTGTGGATGTTCAGAATGACTTTATATCAGGATCTTTAAACATTAAACATTGTGCTGCACAACATGACGGTTTAGAAGTAGTTGAACCTATTAATCGTCTACTAGATACAGTGCAATTTGATGCTGTATTTTATTCGCTTGATTGGCATCCTGTAGATCATGTGTCCTTCATTGATAATTTATCTCTAAGGTATCATTTTAATAAGATTCTTTATATATTATTTTATTAAAAATTCTTTATATATGTAATATTACTTATTCTTTTTATAGGGAAATTGATGAAAGCAATGGCATAACTAAGGAAACGATCAAAGTATATGACACTGTAACATTTAAAGGGCCACCTACAATAAAGCAAAGGTTATGGCCTCGTCATTGTGTTCAGGATTCATGGGGTGCTGAACTTCATAAAGATTTAAAAATTGTTAAAGATGCTATAAAAATTTACAAGGGAACTAATTCGGAAGTAGATTCATATTCCGTATTTTGGGATAATAAAAAATTAACAGAAACGACATTAGCTTCTCAATTACAAGAGATAGGTACTACAGACATATACATTTGTGGATTGGCATATGATGTTTGTGTAGGTGCTACTGCTGTTGATGCAATGACAAGTGGTTATCGTACTATTCTTATTGATGATTGTAGCCGTGGAGTCGATCTAGTCGATATTGAAAAAACAAAATCAAATGTAATAGCTAATAATGGAGTAATAGTGAATTCAAGTCAAGTTAAAGCTATGGTCGAAGGAAGAGATAGAAGACCAGAACTCGGATATAAACTTGCTCTGGAAATTAAACAGAAATTAAGTATTTTAAATGGTGTTGAGAAATAGCTTGCTTCTAATGTAAAAATAAATTAGATAGAAAGAGTGTATAAATATATATATATAATAATTGTACATTAAAATGTATAAAGACTTAGTAGACTATTACTGAAAAAATTGAAAGATAGATAGATATAATATAAAATAATAAAATACTATATTTATTATAAACTATAAAAAGAGAAGAATATACATTAATAATCAGCTGCATTACTGGCCAAATAGTCGCGTCGGCCAATATTCGATGCTTGTTTATTTTGAATAGCTTCCAGTTTAGGACATTCAGTAATTCTGTGTCCAAGACCACCACAATAACTGCAACCACGTTCATCTACAAAATTAAATAACAGTATAGATTTCTATTGAAGTAAAGAATGAATAATTAATAAAATTTGTAGATATTATTTTACCTCCCAAATTAAGATATTTCTCATTTTCAGAACAAAGTTCAAGTAGAAATGGTGGTACTTTCTGTTTGGCTTCCATTAATAAATGTTTAAGATCAAGTAAGACAGATTCATCATTTGCTTTATTAATAAATGTTGTTGCTATTCCAGTTCTCCCTGATCTTCCAGTTCTTCCAATTCTATGTACTGAAACACAGCAAATTATTTTCTTAATTGCATGCTCCACGTGAGAAAATATATATTATTTTAAAAATGTATTACTGATTTTTTTTGATAATTCATATTACCATAATTTTCTACATCATCTGGCATATCATAATTTATAACGTGCTGAACGTCCGCAAAATCAAGACCTTTAGAAGCAACGTCTGTCGCAACTAATACATCTTTTCTGCCAGCGCGAAACGCTTCAACCGAACGTGATCTTTCTTCTTGATCTGAAATTGAAAAAGCCTACAAGTGAAGAATTTTGTAAAATATTTTCGAATTATTATGACATGACAAATGTTTTATTTAAATATTATTACCTTTTCCTCCGTGTATTGCTACAGCTTCTACACCTTTTAGAAGTAAATACTCATGAATAGCATCAACATCCTGTTTTTTTTCAGCAAATATAAGTACAGGTGGTGGAGTTTTTTGAAGACATTCCAAAAGGTATACTATCTTTGCCTCTTGTTTTACATATTCTACTTCTTGTATAACATTCATTGAAGCAGCACCTGCACGGCCAACATTTATTGTTACAGGTTTGACTAAAGCTGAACGAGCAAAATTTTGAATCTTTTTTGGCATAGTTGCGGAGAATAGTAAAGTTTGTCTTTGGCCCTATATAGAATAAGAATATTTTTTATTTTCACGTTAAAATCTTAGTAATAATTTTACTTTAATATTAATCTGTTATACATACTCTGAAGAAAGAAAAAATTGTCCTCACGTCTTCTTCAAAACCCATGTCTATCATACGATCTGCTTCATCCATACATAAATATCTGCATACACTTAATTTAACCATTTTTTTGTCTAGCATATCCATAAGACGTCCTGGGGTAGCTACCATTATATGTACACCTCTGCAGATATTAAGTTATTATTAGTAATTAAATGCATGTTAATAGTTAAGACAATTGTATCTTACATACTTATTAATAACTTCTAAAGATTCAGATACAGGTACTCCACCAATTGCTAAACAACTACGTATATCAGGACAACCAGCTTGTCTTAAACTATTTGTGTAATGCCGAATAATGTCATAAGTTTGTTTTGCTAATTCTCGTGATGGACAAATTATAAGACCTATAACATTATAAAATGACTTTTAGTAATATATTGCTATATTAATTACTTAAGTAATTACCATAGGGTCCTTCGTTTCGTATAAAAGGCATGCCCACTTCTTGTTCTAAACAAAACATTATAATGGGTAAAACAAATACTAATGTTTTACCACTTCCAGTAAAAGCTATACCTATCATATCACGACCAGAAAGCCTGTTAAAAAATCACGAATTAATTATGCAATGAGATATTAAAGATTAAAATCAATAAAAGTGGGATAAATGTATTACTGACACAGTAGGTATTCCTTGTACTTGTATTGGAGTAGGCTTAGTAATTCCTTTCTGTTCTAAACCATTCAAGATACCTCTGTGAAATTTCATTTCTTTAAAGCTTTTTAATGGAGGAGGTACGTCGTCTCCTTCTACCAAAATTCTTAATTTTTTTCTAACTCTTTCATGTCTGGCTTCTCCAAGATGAAGTACTAATTTTGGAGGGTGCCAACTAGTTTTAATCGGATCTTCATATTGAATACCTTTTGCCAATTCAGCAACACCCATTAAAGCTTTATTTTCAGCTACGCTTTCCAAAATTTTTTCTTCTTCCTTTAATTGTTTTTCCATAGCGCTTTCTTTCTTAGCTGCATATAAATAACATTAATATTTTAATCATTTTATTTAATGGTAAGTTTATACTTATTTTAAGACATGAGTTACCTTCTGCTAATTTTTTTAATTCTGTATGTTGATCCAAAAGAGAAATATTAGATTTACGGCCCCAAACTTGACCGTTATCATCATCTGCGTCGTCTTTTTCATTTTCACTGCTACTTTTTCCAATACCACCATTTGCACTTTCTTCTTTTAACTGATTGATTTTACCAAGTTTAATAAGCTGTTGTTTTTTTCGTTCTTTAATAGGTATATATGGTACATAATCCTCATCAGTGTCGGAGAAAGTATTTTTTTCTTCTTCGTCATCTTTTCTGTATCTCTAAACATATTATATAATATTATATTATTTATATACATGCATATACGCTTACTTTCATACAATTAAATAATAAAATAGTAAATGCAACTAAATTTACTTACTTTTCTAGATCGTTCATTGCTATTAACCTGACTCATAATGATTATTTACAAATCACTACTAAGTTAATATTATTTAATAAAACAAAATTACTTTGTTATAAAGTACCACCACATTATTTTGTAAATAGAACTGTATTATAATAAATTATATTATTGTTAAAAATAATTATACGTTAAAATATAAAACATATTAACAATATATGTAAGGTTATGTGATGCCAATCCAAAACATTGATGCACCACCTGTGTTAAATTTTGGAAACTGTTAGTATCTCTGCACCTAGTGCTTTACCTTTTTCTTACCTACCGTCGGTAATAGTAGATTTTCGATTATCGAGTTATATCGAATCAGTATTATTTCGATTTTCAACGAATGAAAATCAAAACTCTCTCCTTCGTACAGGTAACTGCTTTGTATATTAACTGTACTGCTAAGCACATTAATTAACTACAGTAATGATTAATAAATAAAATATAAACTAATGATTAACAATAAGAGATTGAAGTTTATAGATACGAATAAAATACAAAATAACAGATAAATAAGATAATTATAAACCAATTAGATATCTTACAAAATCTATTTTTTTTTTATTATATGCAGCTACATATATAATTACATTTTTATATAAAATTTCTTAGACTATAAAATAAATTTCACCATTTACTAATAATAAGACTACGATGTATTCTCGTAAAATGGTCAAATACGTTATTAGGATTTAGAATTTGCGAGTAAAAATTTTCTATCGTACAAATTTCTTCATACAATTCTTCTGTAGTCATCTCCAAAACATTCGCACATTCATTTAATAGCCAACGAAAACTTCTTGGTAAAACTTTTTCAAATAATTCGAAGTTTTTTGCTTTTACACGACTAAATATACAGTGATACATCCAGTAATCTTCACAGGGACAGAAAAATTTCATGTTTTCAGATTCTTGTTCGCTAGAATCTATGTCATTTTTTAAAATTAATTTTGTCTCATCTATATCTAGATTCTGTTCTAAAATGTCATCATTTAATATGGATATATCAGATAAATCGAAATAATTATTCATATTATTTAAATCGCTATTAAAATTATATTTTCGATCAAATATTTTTTCTTCATTTTTTGATATATCACATGGCACTTTGAATAAACTCATTTCAAGATCATTAAATGAATCCAAATCATTATTATCCAAATTATCATTATCCAAATTATCATTATCTAAATTTATTCCAGTAAAATTATGTAAGTCATAAAAATTAAGATTATCTATTAAATTAGGTTTTATAAAATTATAGCTATTCATTAATTTTTGTACTTCTGAAGCTTTCATGAATTGTCCTTTCGAATTACGATATCGATGCATTTTACGTTTCATAAAATCTTCAATACTTTCCAGTTCTTGTGGCTTAAGTATTGATTCTTGCTCGTATTGTGTTAATTGGATATTATATTTCTGATAAAAATCTATATCCATTGTATCAGGTTTTTGTTTAATTGTGTCTTTAAAATGTAATACATCATCATCCGATGTAGCTTCATTTTCTTCGGGTATTAATAATTTACCATCTGGTAATACATCTCCAAATATAAAATCATTATGATCGTTATGATTAAAATTTGTATTCATTTTTAATGAATTTCGTACGTCATCAAAATATTGTAATTTTGTATTGTCAACTCTAGTATAACAAGGTATATTTTTATCTATATAAGAAACAAAATTTTCTATTTTTTTTATATTTTCTTCTTCTGACTCGTTAAAATCACATATTTGAACATCTTCTTTAAGTTTTGACACTTCTTGCATCTTATTTCGTTCAAAGTAAGGTACAATTTTATTGATAAAATGTGATCTGGAGTTTACAATTATCAAATTTATGTTACATTGTGCAGCAAGTTGCTGAAAACTATAAAAATAAAAAATAAAATAAAATAACGATTAGATATAAATACTGTTACCATAAACGTGAATAAATATATATTCAAATTTACTCACTCATTGATATTTGTCATATATCCAACTTTGGTTTCATAAAAGTCAGTTTTTAAAATATCAGGAATTTTGTTAGAAGAATTTTCCCATAGTTGTTGAAGATAAGAGTAAAGAGGCGTCAATGATGGATTAAATATTGTTACGTCTTCTGATGGTTTATTATCTTGATTTAACTTTTCAAAACACCGCTTCATAGCATCAGTAAGATCTCGTGGAAGGAGATGCTTATAATTATTAATTTCTGGATTTTCTCCATCTTTTTTTGATTTAATAAATTCCAAGAAATTAAGGTACATATTATTGCTCAGCGGTAACGTTGGGTCGTATTTTAATTTTGTTGGATAATGCTTATTAACTAAAATATTTTTTCTACATTCGATATATCTTTGCCATTCGCAAAAACTAAATAATTTTGTATCAAGTACATCTTGTTTGCTACCTACACTGAAACAAAAAAAAACATATGAATTACATATTCTAAGAAATAAAAAAAATAACACAGTATCACAAAAAAAATTATTACAAAGGAATATTCATATTAACAAAAATCATTTGCATCGAGATCTTTATAAACATTTGTTTTTCGTTCATTTAAATCTGCTCCAAATATCATCTCATTATTTTTAATAACAGCATATGGCATTCTTTTATATGTAAAATATATATCCCAAGATCCATCTTTTTTAAGTACAATACCACCGCTATTTTTTGTAAATTTAATCAACATGTAATCAAGATTTCTCTGTAATGCAGTTCTTGGATCGTAACCTTGATTAATATCATCTGCAATACGTCGAGCCATTCCAAGCTTTATTATAGATTCTCCATGACCCGTTAAAGAACATCCTACATTTTTATCAGCATAAGTTCCACATCCTAATAATGGAGAATCTCCCACTCTTCCAACCATTTTTCTATTCAAGCCACCTGTTGTTGTTCCTGCAGCAATACTACAACCATCCCATGCCACGCAGCCAACAGTTCCCACGCTACCTACAGACAGTTAGTTTTAAAATAATATTTGTGATCAATTGTAAGATTGTTATTTCATTACTTTGCAATGCTTGAATATTTTCTAAATCTTCAACATTATAATCAGCTACAGAATTTCCTGTTTCACTTAATTTATAGGCAAGATATGCTGTTGGTGCAACCATATTCCCATGTGATAGTAAATTTATATTAGCAAATTGTGCCAACTGTTTGGCACTTTCTCCAACAATTATATTATTTGGGAGATTCTCCAAAACATATCTAGCAAGTGATATAGGATGTTCTATATCTGAAACTGCTGCTACTGAGCCACATTCAAATTTATCTCCATCCATAATACCTGCATCCATTTGTACTTGTCCTATATTTAATATATATGTCATTATTTAAATTTACATATATATTTTAAACAATAGGTACATATTTCTACCTATTTCATTCAATACAGATCCATAACCGCAATTAAAGAATTCATCACATTCCAACCACCATAAAGCTGCTTCTACAGCTTCTATAGAATTTCCTCCATTTTTTAATCTTTTATATCCAATAGATGCAGCTTTCTGACAAGCTGTTATTTTCTCAATTACCATAAAATCTTTACAGTCTCCTATACCGCCATGTACAATTATACATGGTGAATTTGTATCCCTTTGACAAATATACTTCTCTTCCCATTTATTACATATTACATTTGGAAATGTTTCATCTATTTCATTTTTTTTCTTAAGGCTATTATTTTGTTTATAATGACATCTTTTTATATACATAATCACTAATTTTAGAGCAGTACTTTGACACAAAATTTGATACAAATATAAATGAAAATTTAACCTACTTAATTAAACTGTCATTTCTTTTTCAAATAAAAAAATTGAAGGCTGAAATAATATTAATAATTTAATATATAACTTACATATTAATACGTTCTGCTATCTTACTAATGGTACACTCTGTTATACCATCCAATCCAAATAATACTTTTAATACTACTATAATAAATGCCATCGCACGTGCTTCATAGTTAGGAATATCTGACTTTTTAAAATCAAAAATCATTGTTGGAGGCGAGAGAGCAATAAATCTTTCAGCATATAGTAGTACACCTTCTAAAATATTTTAGTAATGAATAACTGATAATAAGAGTACATTTTTTCTTATATATAAGAAAAATATTCATACTTGGTAATGCTAGTTCCTGACAATAACGACTGATCAATGGTAAAAGGTTCGGAGAACTCATTTTCCTAATTCCAATAAATTTTGCCATCCTTGCAGCTATCTTTCTAAGACCTTTATGTGTTATCTCTGTATTTTGTGTTAAAAAATTCACATCATTTTGAGATAGTTTTACTTCGGACGGAATTAAATGATCTAATCTATAATAAGACATATGACCCTCTCTCGCAAACCTAGAATACCACATCATAAATGCATACAATAATTAATAGACAAGAAATGATTTATTTTAAAATTAAATAAAAAACAGAAATATATAATTACGTACCTTAACATATCACCTAACTGTATAGGTTCTTTATGAATTCTCATGGCAAGATAAACAATAGCCCACAGTTTAATTCCCGTAATTACACATGGCCCTGTTTTATATTGAGAAGTAATATGTTTTTTTCTATATTTAACTCTTTTAATATATGAAACATTTTTAGCTAATTTTTGTATCTTTTTCTTTTCTTCTTTTGCAAATTTGTTAAAGGATACTCTACATAAAAAATATTAGTTAATGAATATCCTAGTATAAATGCAGATTTTATTTTATAGTTCGAAATACAACATACCTTTCTTCTTTATCGAATGATCTTACTGTATTAGAACTGTATGCACTTATACTAACTGCACTGATAGCATCAGAATTTGTCTGGGATTTCAGGTATTTCTCATAATCTGAATTTATCAAGAGTTTCTGTTAAAACCAATTATAAGAATAACATTATTCTAATATGATTTCATTAATCTATTTGTAAAGAAAAGAGTTATAAACTAGAATACGATACTTTGTTTCTGTGAAATCCTTGTGAACCACCATGAGTACCAGATGAGTAACCACTATGAGTAGCAGAAACTACAGATTGATTTGTACTATTTGTATGCATTTTATACCGTTTAATAATCTTCTTTTTTGATTGAATTTTACCATAAATAATTTCTGCATCGCTGAAATGAAATAATCATAAATGTAAAAGAGTTTTTGAGCTCATATCATAATATGGTCACAGCATTATAAACCAACTTTTTATTAAACTGTTTAGAAAGTTTTGGTAAAGACTTTCTGTTTATTGAAGTAAATGCCACTTGAAGTTTACTTAAATAAGTTGACCACAATTGTAATACTGTAAATTTTATATCCGGTGAAGCACCAAGTTCAATCATTTCTTCGGTTAGTCCAATTAAAGCAAAATTATATATTTCCCACGTTGTCCACCCCTGAGGTTCACCTGCATAGTCATTTAAATTTATTTTATATATGATTCATTAGTATTACAAGAAATGATTTCAATAAATACTCTTAACAAATAAAAATGATATTAACTGTGCTTTCGATCGGCATGTTTGATTTTAATCTTTCGCAGTTTTGTACTTGGATCTACACGCATATCAAATATTTCTTCTCTTATTTCCTGAAAAAAAAAAAAACAAGAAACAATACAACGTTGTATCCTAACCTTTAAATAATTTTTCCTATATATTTAGTTTTACACATAATTACATCATTTTGTGTTTGACAGGTTTCACAGTAATAAAAACCAGCATCTTTGAAAAAATTTGTGCATCCGCAAACTCGGCATACTGATTTTACTTTTAGATCTCCTTCCATTGCAATTCATTAATTTTGGTAAACACAGTGCACGGTACACGTGGTAACCAACTTATGTCACTTTAGATCCCGCCTTAGCAACCCCCACTCTTTTTATTATAGCCGTAACAATACATCTCTTATAGACAAATGAAATTGTTTATAAGTTTCGCTACTAGAGTGTGCAACAGTCTCGTTCGTAAATGCATCTGCAGTAGATAATCTAGATATCTCGAAAATCGCGCGCGAGACAGAAGTGTCCTTTTAGAATATATTTTCTGAAAGATATTAATTTTTCTAAAAAGAAATCGATTCATTAAAAGTTACATACATAAAGTCGAATTTCACGGATAAATGTGTATATAATTATTCACAGAGGATATACATAAAGAACATAATATAAGACAAGATGCATGGTCATTTTTTCATCGGTTTTTTGGTTCCCCCACTTTTACACTTTGTCGATGCACTTTCGCGGTAAAAGAATATATAAATAAATAAAAATAGCTCTCGATGACAAGCGGGAATATACATGCGCGCGGATGAGAACGTAAATTTATTTATATTTATTTATTTATTTATTTCCGATCATAAAACTCGAATGTAATTAATTAAAAAAAGAGGGTCAAGAAACGATATTTTATTACAAGTCAATGGTGGGAATAAAGATTATGGAAGGATTACAAGCCGGTTCTCTATAGTATACTCATAATCAGGTTAGGTTAGATAGTACTATATAAAAGGTTGTTCTAGTGTGTGTATGTTCATGCGCACGATCCCTTCGTTATCGGCAGACAGGACACTCGGGGCACAGACTCGGGCAGTGACTCGAGTAGTCAACACGACAATTCTTCCCTCGCGGGTTAGCCGAAGGCTTAAAAAAAGACAAATAGACAACCCCGGGGTGGTGGCGCTTCGATCGGGCGAACTGTTGCACTCCGTTCGGAAGTGGCTCGGGTACCCCGGTCCTTGTCCCCCGGATTCGTTGGGGACTCGAGAGGAGAGTCACGTCGGCGCGTTATCACCGTTTCAGTAGTAAACACCAGTTCGCGTAAGACGAATCTCGGATGTTGCGTTAACGTTATTATTCTGTCATCGTCAACTAAATTATCGTAATAATCTTTTTGTTAATTGTTCGCGTTTTTACTATATAAATTATCGATTAATCGATAAGGAACGATCATCACCGTCATGATGATTGTTCATCGGTGTTTGATAGAACGTTTTAACGCGTTTCACCATGTGTACAAATTGAACAGAAAACTCGTCGATGCGTAGTAGTTTCCTTATCCTCGACGAGTATTTTCTTTCTTTTACGAGTTATCTATTTACTACCTTGTTACTGCTATCATCATCATCATCATCATCGTCGTCGTCGTGGTCGTAGTTGTAGGAATTTCTTTGAATTTACGTGCTACGAAAGAAGACAAGGAAAAGGAGAAAAGAGAGAACGCTACGACGAGAAGAGGAAGAGAGAGAGTGCGTGTGCTTTCGTGCTTCCTAGTGATCGAGACACGGCAAGTTTTGTTTTTTTCTTAATAGGACGATTGCATATAACTGCCATCGTTCTTCTTCTTCTTCTTCTTCTTCTTCATCTTCTTACCTCGTCGATCAGGTCTATACGTTTGAGAAAGTCCGGCTTTCTCTCTCCTATCCTATTTTTCTTCTTCCTTTTCATCTTCTTCCTTTTTTTCTTTTTATTAAAGGAATACTTTAAACGTTGCCTCGAGAACCTCTATGTAGGTGTGGACCTTTCAACCAGAACACTCCGGCATACTTTTTATTTTATCGGAACGTTCTTCGAACACCACGGGTAAGTTTTCCCGGTATTTTTTTTTACTTTTCTTTTCTTTTCTTTTTTTTTTCTTCTTTCTCTTCTGTACACCATACTTTCTTCTTTTACTTAAATAAGATATATCTTTTTAAAAGGGAGTTACGTTTAAGTAGTTGCGCTTAATAAAGAAAATAAATAAAAAAAAAAAAAAGAAAAAAAAGGAAAAAATATCTTTATGGGGGAAACGTTTTTCAAAGCTCCCTTACATCGACGATAATTCTTTTATTATAAACGAAAGTGTGTGTGTGGTGCAACCCCTCTTTTCTGCTTTCGCGTAATACCTGATATAAAAGAGTCTCGTCTCTTCTCTATCGGGTTTTATATAGTAAAAGTAAATTACAGAACGATAAGATCACTTATAAAAAAAAAAAAAAAAAAAAAAAAAAAAAAAAAAAAAAAAAAAA